AATTATTTTAGATCAACATTTGGATAACAGACTTCCATATCAGCAATTATGTCCCTGATTGCATACGTTCTATTAGCGATTATTTACACAGCATAAAGGTCGAGACTGTTTTCTATAAAGTCAGCCAAAAACAAAGAATCTAATAGCTATGAATCAGAAACTATCGAGTTCACTCTGCAAGTTTGGAAATCAAAGAACTACAAGTATGTCACTGTTGATAACTGCCTTATATGAAAGTGATGATTAGAATATCTTTTTGTAGAGAAACATTTGCTCTTTCTATTGATGTATCCAATACGTTTTATTAAGCACCGAAAACTGTACAAATTTAGTTGTTTTTGGCTTCTGAAAGATTTGCTCATAATCCCTGGTCTAATAACTCTCACAAAAACTATGCACATAGATTCGGATAGAGTACGGATTTCTAATTCTAGCTAGATGTTTAATACTTTCTGCGAGACATCTTCATTGGTCGAAAAATGAGGAAACAATTTTATCTAAAAACTTTCGACGCATCCTATTATAACTTTTGAAAATATATTTGACTTTATTTAAAAATAATAAATAAACCTACTAAACGTGATTGAAGTTTCTTTTTAAACATTGTTTCAGGTAAATCAAGTGTATTAGCTATTGCAATAACAATTAATTTTGAATAAGGTTGTTGCGGCCATTCTAACATATTATATAATATTGTTTGATTTTTTGTATATAAATGATCAACCTAGAAATAAATTTATATAAAAAACTCACAAAAAAAAAATAAATTTTTTAATATTACTTCATCAAGTAATAAAACAATTGCTTGTCTTTTTTTATTGACGCGATCTGTAAAATATTTCGATAAGAGTTTACATGCCATTTTAGAACTACGTTTTCGACTCAATTCATTATCATCAATAGCCTGAATATATAATCAATCAAATAAATATAATAAAAGAAAATATTTACTTGTAGAAGTTGATTATAGATTTTTTCTGGTTTATTTAATTTCATTCCATTTAGAAAAATATATTTAAATTGTGGTAAATCAGAATCACTTGAAAGAAGCATTAATTCACGTACCACTTTATTTACAATAGCCGTTTTTCCAACACCGGGAACACCACTTATGTACAATGCTCTACAGAAAATGATAATAAATAATTTGTCTACGAAGTGAGAGTATGAGATGAAATCTAGCCTTGCTTGAGAAATGATATCATTCATCATTCTCCGAGTGTATAATATTTATTTAGACATGAACGAGATCAAATTTTGTGGCTTTTAAGGATCTGCTATCACATTTAGCAAAAATTTTGCTACTGTACTACTTAAAATTATTCATCATCATATTCTAAAGTATGAAACTGTTCGATACTGTATTTTAACCGATTTAATCGCCAATATCCTGCTTATGGAACTCTCAATTTTATATGAACATGATCAGTTGTCTTCACTGGTGAGGAGCGAAGAGATCAGAGCAGGAGCGGAGTATTCTCCATAATTGGAGACAGATGTTGTAGCTTTCGACCGGTTTTTATATAATCGGTTAAACTTTGAGAGAAATTCATCAATTTATAGAGAAATCAAAAACCAGTGACTGTGTAGCAAATATTAGTATAGACTTCTAAACAAGCAAACTTATTTTGCTTCCGAAGGGTACACAGATGTTTGTACATATCGAATAAGTCACGGGATGATTTCTACCTGTATAACACATATATTCAAAATCTTTTTAATTTCATTTCTTATCAATATGCGTAATCAGGCTAACATAGTTACTTGAAAAATATGAATGAACGACTCTGAACTTTATTGTCTGAAAAACTCTAGATATTTTAAAAACACCTCGACTATTTCATAGATAAAATAGTCCCACTACATATTATCTTCACGAAATTGGAGATGAGTATAGCCTAAATCTTCCGAAATTAAAGAAGTGTACAAATCTTCACAATTTGAAGAAAACAGAATTCTAACAGTTTATCCAAAGTTATCTTAGTCAAATGAAAAGGAAATTTTAAGACCAGTTTGTTCATATGCTTAAAAGACAATAATAAACTATAGGGTATTCACTTACAAAATTTTAGGAAAAATAGAAATTGTTTATTAGAAATTTCATCTTTTTACCCGCCAGATTGTGCATCAAGTTTATTTGTAATAAATGCTGCAATAGAACTTGATTCTTGTTCACGACATGGTGGTGCTTCAGGTAAATTTGTTGGTAAAAGTCTAAATCAATATCGATTTTATTATTATAAAAGCAAAATAATAAAAAACAATCAACCGTTGTCGAGCTTGAACAAATACATCATTAGAAATATCAATTGATATTGTACCATCATCATCATTTTGTAAATCCGATAATGTCATTGTATTCATCTAAGAATGATTAAAGTAAAAGATAAGTAATTTAATTGAAATTGAAACAATAATTTACTCGTGGCAAAAATGGTATTCGTGTTTTTTTTGTAGCTGGTGTTCCTTTATTAATTAAAGTTGATTTTCGATTATTGTTATTAGTTGATGTAATTTTCTCATCATCACTTGATAAACTTTCATCTTCATCGTCATCATCATCATCTTCATCTTCATCTTCATCATCGTCATCATCACTTGAAGAAGATTGATCTGGTTCATATTCATTTTTATCTTTTTCAAAACTAATTTGACGACTTGCTCGTGTCAATGGTCTTGGTGTATGATTTGTTTCTTTTTTTGTAATTGGTGATGATAATGAAACTACAGGTGTTGATGGTGTTCTTACACGTAGATTATATTTAACTTTTTGTATTGAATCATTTTTAGATCTTGGTGTTGACCATTGACCAGTTGCTGAATCACGAACTATTTTTATTGGAGTTAGAATAATACGCACACTATTAGATTGTTTCGAAGTCATGTTTTTTTTTTAAAAGGATTTCAATATGAATGAATATTCTTTGTATCTGGTGAATATGAATCATCATTGTTTGAAATGACCCAATCGATTGAATGATATAAGGAAGAGGTCACAATTCACTGTTTTGTTGTTCTGAACAATTTGAATACAACCAATTCAAACGAAAATTATTTAGGACAAACAGAATTTTTTTTTAGAATCAATAGACTCTATTGCTTGTATTATATTATTTTCGTTCGACAAATATCTTGACTTCAGCAATCATATTGTAAGATGCTGCTTCTAATCCATCTGATGTATGCACATGTTTATTTATATCTTTGATGAATACAATATCCAGAAACGTGAAACAACTATCAATAATTTTAACAAAACTGGATTGTGATAATCTCTGACAAAAAAAAAAACAATAGTCTTTACTCGTTGAAGACTATCTAAATAATTCTTCAATCGATTCGCTTGTCATGCTGTGTGACACTGAATTACAAGAGTAATTTATTCATTTGAACTATATCAACATAGTTACCTAATATAGAATTAAACAACAGACAATTGTCTATTTAGGAAATTCTAATTCGAAAAAATTCTGCTTCTAATCGTTCATCAATACCACATTTACACGATGAAATAGTTTAGTAACTATTCTTCATAAACAGATAAAGAACGAAAGTTGATAGAATATTAAGTTTAGTCAATTTTTGGTTAGTAATAAATGAATGAAATAGATTATGAAACAAAAAAAATGCGATAACAGGTTGCTAGGATATTTACAGTGCCATTTAAACTCAAAATAACAACAATCGAATCTCATGCAAATAGAAAAGAGAGAATAATAACTGAAGAAATAAGTTTCGTACTTGAAATATATATTTCAAATATCTAATAATCCTTTCCAAGTTCTATATTATTTAATTCTCTTTATAAACTATTTAAATGCAATCTGATAATAATTTTTTTCGAATTTAAAGTATATCTGATTATTCCAATTACATAATTTTCGTTCTAAGTGATCCTTAAGTATTATTTTATCTTTTGATTAGATGCACTATAGTTATAGCTTGTCTACAAGTAGTCATCTATAGTAAATAAATGTTCTTAGTTTCTTACAATGTTGTTTAATGATGATAATGACAAATGTTTATTGTACTTGATATCAGAGTAGATAACTATTCTATCTTTTAAAATATGACACAAATAATTGTATTAAAATTGATTTTAAATAAATAAGTCAGAGTTGGTAATAGGAATGTATCAATACAATTAATAAAAATAGTGATTAGTATTATACAATTAAAAAAATAAAAATTCAAAATTTTTCAAACATAATTCAATTATAATCGATCGAAAACAAATCCTTGCGAAATTAATTAAGATTTTTATTTTATTGTATAATAAATTGAATTGCGTTCACTTTGATTGAGAAGAATAGTGCTATTCAAGGTGACTAAATACTTCTATGTGCATTATGATTCAACTGTCACTATGTATACTTGCGTAATGTTATGTAGAAGCCTTCTGTTCTGTATTCTCTGATTAGCAAACACACAGAATATGACTCGCGTGTGTACGTATAGCAAGAAAGAAACGAAACAATCCTTCTTCGTCTTTTTTCTGTTGCACTCTCAAGATGAAGAAAAAAAAAAAATGTAGATGTAAAATCATCTTTCGTTTTCTTTTGCCACAAGTAGGTAACGATAATAAATTTAAAAGGGTCACCTTTTTGTCTTTGAAATAGATTAGAAGAAACTAGATTTTTTTTCTTCTATTATATACAAATGAATATTTGAAACAGACAATTATTCTCGAATAATTTTATTAAAAGCGTTGTTAGTCATTAAACTTTCAGAGATTTGTATTCCATCTTCTAATGTATATTATTTCTTTAATTTATATTTGATACGTCTAATTCAAAGTTGAATTCTAAAACGATGACAACATCGAACCAATGTTCAATGTGTGAGAAAGAATTGCGAAGAAGTCTTGTGATCAAATGCAAGACATGTTTTTGTATGAATGCCTTTAGAAGTCATCGTGAAAAGTTACTCAACGAAATGGATGGTTTCGTCGAAAATCAAAATGATAAGGAAGATAATATCAACAGGAGTACAGAATCGAATGATTCTAGTACTCCTTTTCTATCACAAATTAATGAATGGCAAAAGTTGAATACTAAATACATTAAATTAGAGATCGAACAGCTTCGGCAAGAAACCATTCAACTCTATTATTTTGCATGGATAAGAACCATTATTGCATTACAAACATCTCTCATGGAACCAATCTATTTAAACGAAATAAAACATTCTATCAAGCAGATTTATATAGAACTTGAACAAGTAATTGATCGTATCCATCAATATAGCAAAAAAATTCACTCAAACAACTATGGTGAAAAAACAAAACAAAAGAGAAAGACGACAATCAGATTCGTTTTTCGTATATCAAAGAAAAATCTACTGGAAATTTTTATGTCCAGCGACCACAACAGTCATTTCGTAAAATGTTTTAACCGAAACTTTTTTGAAAAAAAATATTCTTTTAATTTTTTTATTTAGAAAAAACAAACAATTACGTCATCGTATTAAATCTAACCATCACACGGTTCGCCTTGTGCCAATTGCAGCAATAGCCGTGATATCTTTTTTTTTAACAATTATTCATCAGCCACGTAATCTAGAATTCTCCAATACAACGCAAAGCTTATAATGTAATACCATAATGAATGTAAATAAAATCATATCTTCCCACCACCCACCTTCTATATGGTTTTCTTAATTGACTAATTATCTTAACATTGCAGGTTGACGTCATTTCACATTTTATAGTGTTTTTTTGTGTGTCGCGACCTTGAAATAAAAACGATAGAGAATTTTGTCTAAAGCATTGCAGTTTTAAATAATCTTATAAGAGGTTCATATCATCTTAAAAGGTCAAATCATTAGTTTGAAAATGATCATATAATGTATGCTAATAAATGAACTAGCGCAATGATTTGTTAAGAATTTTAATTATCACTTATCATAAGTTATATAGTTGCTATACACAATCATTGTTTAATATGCTCTTTATCTATATCAATACGATCATTATCTTCATTGAATTTATTGTATATTGTAGTGCAAATTCTACCATTAGACATCTTAACAAAGCAATTGGTAAATTGACTAAAAGATAATTTTTAAGAATATTTTTCTTCTTCTCACAGATTATTATATGAATAAAACAAAAGATAGTCTTGATTTAACAATTTCTTATTATTTATCATTAGAAAATTGTTCTCAATTATTTTTAACATTATCCGATTTAATTTCATTCTATTCATTAAAAATACCAAACATAACAATTTTACAAGAAAGTATAACAACATTAAAATTAATTAATTTATGTCTAAATATTGATATAAAAAGTATACAAAAATTAAAGAGTCTTCGTCGTATATTTTTTCAAAATTGTACTATTCATTTTATGGCCAGTCAATACCAAGAGGATTATGATTTTTATCCCAAAAATTTATCTCGATGGTCATTTAGTCAAGGTCAAACGGATTCATTTGATCAATTTATTATCATGATTAATCAATTAGGTAAAATGATTTGAATAAAAACAAAAGAAAATAAATTCTTTTTTGAAAAAAAAGGTCCTTTAAAATTTGATTTAAAATTATCGAATTGTTTTAAACCAATTTTTTCTTTTAATCATTTTATTCCACTTGATACACAATTAATTTTTCTTGATATAACATGTCAATATTTTCAAATTGATGAGCCATATAATATTAAAACGCGCACAGCGATTTTTCTTACACCAACACTAATTATTAATACACAATCAAGTCCTTGTCCATCAATTCATAAATATCATTGGTTAAGTTTAAAACGTAGTTATACAAAACTATTTTCTTTACGAACATTTATATGTGAAAATCGTCTTATTCAACTTAATTTTGATATAAATCAAACAACAATTACAAATACAAAAATTACTATTACAACTCAAATAATGTTGACACAAGCAACTATTTTTAACAAATGGAAAGTACCAATTATAATTAATTTTTCTGTTGTTCTTATATCGATTATCATGTTATGTATAGCATTTACTGTTTTTTGTATTCATTTTTTAAAGAATAAAAATATCAATGTAGTGGCGTAATCAAGGATAGATTTGGTCAGGCACCACTCTACTACTGATCACCTTCAGTCTATCCCCACAAGAAAGAAAAACTTAATAATTACCATCATTGATACTATACTTCATGGATTTCACTCAAAATTATAAATTACTACCCTACTACTAATGTTTCTCATGGAAATTCGAAAAAAACTATCTTTTTGCACTTTGTTTGTACTAATAGAGTTTATCAAAATGTCCAATGACGAAGCTTTATGAAGAACATACTGAAGAAAAAGAAATCATCTTTTTTTTTTATTTCCCACGGTAATCGTTAAGGTTCATTGCCAATTACCGTAATGTTGTCGTGTCCTTTCAAACATGCGGCCGTATTAATCACCCTGTATTCATGGAGCGATACGGCTCCATTAACATGTCATATTTTAACGTATACTTCGATCAGGATTGACAAAAAAAACCTATCGATGATCAAAAAAAGATGATAAGCAAAAAATACATTTTCATTTATTTTTCCTTATATAATCAAAGAAAAATTCAAGGATAAAAGAAAAAAGTAATAGATTCGAAAAACCAAAACTACTATTTTCCCTTTTAAAAAATATACATAATCATCTTGAAAGCAATGTATTATTTTATTCAGTATAATGTACTGCAGACATTCTGTTTTTTTTTTAACACAGAATTTAAAACAGTATATCTATCGAAAATAGTAGATGTTCTGTACATTTTGTTTCTGCTTGATACATCTACCATCACAAGAAGTTTTGCCCCAATCGTCTTCGATATCTTGGTTACGCTACTAAATCAACCATTTAGAATTCTCTTTCCTTCATAATACTTAATTGAAGTTTCTTGAATCATATTTTATATATTTATAAAATTAAGAGAAAAAAACTTAAATTTTGTCTTTATGAATCGTAAAATTTTAAATAGCAACATTAATAATTAACGACATCTCTTTTAATTAACTGACGAAGTAATACACGGCGACAAACGATTGGTTAATATAATCAATCATTCATATTTGAACAGAACACCAACTTGCCTATATTAAAAACTGAGTTTAAATAAATCTCATTTCTATATAAAACAAACCATCGAGTGGGTCACTTCAGCAAGTATGTTCAAGTGGCTTTTATTTTCTGCTTTACTAAGCATATTTCTGTTTTCAAGTAAGATAAAATAATTTTAATCTTAAAAGTTTCTTTTAAAATGTTTATATGTTTTTTTTTTTTTTTATTTAGATATCTGTAAAGCTGATGATGATACAGATACAACATCAACAGCAATTCCACCAAAAGTTGATGATGATATAGGAAAACACAGTGATGCATCAAAAACTGATGACGAAGTTGTACAAAAGTAAGTTTTATAACGAATCAAAAAAAAACAAGGTCTCTATTAAATATTTATTATTTCTTTTTTTTTCTCTAGAGAAGAAGAAGCTATTAAATTAGATGGTTTAAGTGCAAAAGAATTTCGTACATTAATTGATGCATCAGAAAAACATCAATTTCAAACTGAAGTTAATCGTATGATGAAATTGATTATTAATTCATTATATAAAAATAAAGAAATCTTTTTACGTGAACTTATATCAAATGCATCCGATGCACTTGATAAAATACGTTTTCTTTCTCTTACGGATAAGACTGTACTTGGTGATAAAGAAGAATTAACAATACGTATTAAAATTGATAAAGATAATCGTATGTTACATATAACAGATACTGGTATTGGTATGACTAAAGCTGATCTTGTACAATTTCTTGGTACAATTGCTAAATCAGATACATCAGAATTTTTAAATAAAGTTCAAGATGCACAAAAAGATGGCAGAGAAGGTGTATCAATGAGCGATCTTATTGGACAATTTGGTGTTGGTTTTTATTCAAGTTTTCTTGTTGCTGATAAAGTTGTTGTTACATCTAAAAATAATGCTGATGATCAACATATTTGGGAATCAGATTCAACATCTTTTAATGTTTTTAAAGATCCTCGGGGTAATACACTTGGTCGTGGAACAACAGTCAGGTAAAAAAATTTAAAAAAAAATAATCTTCTGTTTTTTCTTATTTAATGTTTTAAATTTTTAGTCTTCATTTGAAAGAAGAAGCTGGTGAATATTTAGAAGCATCAACACTTGAAGAAATCATTCGTAAATATTCGCAATTTATTAATTTTAATATTTACTTATGGAAATCAAAAGTTGTCAAAGAAGAAGTACCTGATGATGATGGTAAGTGAATCATTTTTATTATCTGAAGATGCAGATATATATATATATATGTTTTCTTTCTTTTTAATATTTAGCTTCTGAAGAGAAAAAAACTGATGAAACTGAAAAGAAAACAGATGATGATGCAGCTGTTGAAGATGATAAAGAAGAAGAAAAGAAATCGAAAACAAAAACAGTCGATAAAACCGTTTGGGATTGGGAATTAATGAATGAAAGTAAACCAATTTGGCAACGAAAGTAAGTAAAAAAAAATTTTCGTAGCGATTAAGTCCAGTTATATCTCGAAAATAATCATCCTAAGAATCTCAACAGTTGGCCAACAAACTTTAGACGTTTATAAGTTTATTGTTAGTTTTTTCATTACTCTATTCGGTTATATTTGTAATCAGTAGTGATAGTAATGAATCATACTTGATAGAGATTAATTAAAATAGTTAGAAAAATAATTACGATTCAATTAAAAGCCTATCATCACGAGTTATTTTCATTTATTAATTCACAAAAAAAGATCTTTGCTCTTATTAAATGATTATTTTCGAATGGAATAAAACTCAATGATAATTTTTATGCAATGTATCGATAAGAAAATCATCAGACTGCATCGATCTTAAAATTGCATAAAGTTCCAAGATTACTATGTGTTTTCTTTGAATATGTATGAATCATTCTCTGACTCAACTGTTGAAAAACTATTCATAGCATCCTTTATTCAAGATTTCAATAGTCATTAAGATTTAATTAAAAAAAAAACTTCCAATCTTATTTTAGATCATCTGAAGTAACTGAAGATGAATATCATGCTTTTTACAAATCATTTGCTAAAGACAGTGATGCACCAATGATCTACAGTCATTTTACTGCTGAAGGTGAAGTAACATTTAAATCAATACTCTATGTTCCAAAAGCAGCACCATTTGATTTATTTTCAAATTATAATAAAAAAACTGATGCTATTAAACTTTATGTTCGTCGTGTATTTATTACTGATAATTTTGAAGAAATGATGCCAAAATATTTATCATTTATTCGTGGTGTTGTTGATAGTGATGATTTACCATTGAATGTTTCACGTGAAACATTACAACAATCAAAATTACTTAAAGTTATTAAAAAGAAACTTGTACGAAAAGCATTAGATATGTTAAAAAAGATTTCTCCAGATGATTATACAGCATTTTGGAAAGAATATGGTACAAATATAAAATTAGGTGTTATTGAAGATTCAGCAAATCGTACACGTTTAGCTAAATTACTTCGTTTTTCAACATCATTATCAAAAGATAAATTAATTAGTTTAACAGAATATGTTGAACGTATGAAACCAAAACAAGAACATATCTATTTTATTTCTGCTATGTCAATTGAAGAAGCAGAAAAATCACCATTTGTTGAACGTATTTTAAGAAAAGGTTATGAAGTTCTTTATTTAGTTGATCCTGTTGATCAATATTGTATGCAATCTTTACCTGAATATGAAGGTAAAAAATTTCAAAATGTTGCTAAAGATGGTTTAGAATTAGATAAATCAAATACCAAAAAGGAAGAAGAAAAAAAACATTTAGAAAAACTTTATGAACCATTATTAACATGGCTTAAAGAAAAACTTGGTGAAAAAATAAGTGATGCTAAAATATCTGATCGTCTTGTTCAAACACCTATGGCACTTGTTGCATCACAATGGGGTTATGATGGTAATATGGAACGAATAGCTCGTGCTCAAGCATATCAAAAAAGTGGAGGTGATGCAACAATGAATTATTATTTAAATCAAAAGAAAACATTAGAAATAAATCCTCGTCATCCACTTATTAAAGATTTACTTCGTCGTGTTGAAGATTCAAAGGATGATAAAACAGCTCTTGATTTAGCTAATGTTATGGTTGAAGCTGCAACACTTCGATCTGGTTATGATTTGAAAGATTCAGCTGGTTTTGCTGATCGTATTGAATCAATGTTACGACGTGCTATGGGCATTTCATTAGATGAAAAAGTTGAAGATGAACCTGTTGATGAAGAAACTGATGCTAAACCAGATACAAAGGAAGATGAAAATGTTATTGATGATGATGATGATACAAATAAACAATCAACAACAGTATGTTTATTAGAAACTTAATATTATTTTTCGAAATTATATAATTTGTTTTTTCGTTCTTGTTTAGGATTCGAATGAACAACGTGTAGAGTTATAAAAAAAAAAAAAACTTACAATAATCAAAAAGTTCTAAATACGTCGTCAAATATCTTTAATAAACATTCCTTCCTTATAAGTTATTTCTATATGGATCATAGTCGAATAAAACAAAATCTGGACCTCTATATATGCACACGTATTTCGTTATTGTTGGTTGTATGTTGATTCTCGTCATTTGTTCGCTTCTTCTTGTTCTTTTTTTCTTTCTTTTTTGTTTATTTGCCTCATTCGATCGACTTTAACTGTTAGAAACTTTCATTTTTATTTCTTTTTTCTTCTGTCTCTGTTAGCTTTATTATGGCTGTTTGTTTGTCATTTGCCAAACGCAAATAAATAAAACTAACGCTTAGGTTGTTAAACATAATCTAATTATAGAATTCTGATTGATGAAAAGGCTACATATAATAAGAAGAAATTCATTAATTTGAAAACAAAATTATCTTCAAGTTTTTTTTTTGTCTATGATAATTTCTTAAGTAATCGTTCTGGAGTTTTTTCTGTTTCTCGAAACATCACTCAAATCACTAGTTTGTATCGCGATGGTCGAAATATCTGAGTATCGCACAATAATCGTGCAAACGTGGTTCCTAGGTTGTATAATCCCGTATGATTAATTTTTTTCCGAAACTTGAATATCAAGTTACATTTGTTCTCAATTAACTGTGCAAAATGACGACTCCAATGTAAGAACCCTGTTTTTTTCGAGATAATAAAGACAAATTTCAGCAGCAAAAATATTTTAATCAGATTTTGCTGCTTGCACCAACACCTTCAATTCGTAAGTTCTTAAGTATCACAAACAATGAGTGCAGTTTGGATCTCAGATCGACTATACAAAATGAACTAATTTTGAAAACTGGATGTAAATTAAAGTAACATAATCAAGTAATCATATAAAAATATCATAGACGGTGTGTCTCGTTTTTAAAACAAATGAATAATGATAGTTTGATTTAGCCTTTTCTTAAGAATAATGTGCTAATGTGGATACAAAAAAAATACTTTTGTATATTCTATATTAGAATTGATCGATTTTTCATTTAACAACAAATAAGTCTTAATAATAAAAAACTTCTACATATGCTTTCATTAGTTTCTTATGACTAGAGTCCTGCAGAACAGTCCCGGATCCCGAAAAATTCCGTTTGTCCCGTCCCGCGAGACCATCGGGATTGTCCCGAAAATTTTTCGGGACGGAACAAACGGGATCGGAACTATTTAGAAAAAAACCGATGTTCCGAATTTCTTAAACTCACATGTCAGAACGCGTCGTAATTTTAAGTTTTCTTATTTTTAACAAATATTTTAATATTTAAATAGAAAACAACAGAAAACTATTCCTAGATGGCTTCAGAACTGTTCATTATCATTTCTTGCCACTAGTTGTTTCACTGCTACTATAATTTAGGCACATGGTCTCGTTCATTAGCTCATTCTGCGCATCAATCAGTGTGTGTGAGGATGAGAATGTGCTTAAACTGTCAGTTATATCCCAAATTAATCTTTTTTCTTACACTTCGGCTACAGGCAAGCAAATCTTCATTACTGTTCCAATATTTCGTTTAATGAGTAGCAAATTATTAATTTCATCTGTACCCGACGTATTCCTCGATCGATATTGTACTACCAATTATATAAATTAAACGATATCTAGTTCGTCTAATAATCATCTATATGAATCGATTTTTTCTATTGGTAGTACAGAAAATACGTATTCTTCTTTTGCAAAACAATATTTCTATGTTCCTTTCGGTCAATGAGACAAACTGAACTTACGGGATTTTACGGGACGATTCAAAAAAATTCGGGACGGAACATTCGGGATCGGGACAATTCCAAAAAAACTCGGGACAGGACATTCGGGGCGCGACACGGGAAAAGTTTGTCCCGCAGGACTCTACTTATGACACTTGATTCTTAATTGAGCTGAAAGAAAAAAGTCCACTGAAATAAGAATTCGTCATGTATTTTCAAATAACAATGTGCATTATTCTGTTTCTATGCACGTATCCATTTACAGTGAAATAAAGAGATAGTATGTGGTCGAAGCAAATAGAGTAAAAGCAGAACACCGAAGCAATATCAAGAAATGTACTTGTATGCGCCATCTGCAGTTTCGGAAGCGGGCCGAGATCATTCGAAAAGTGGTGAATGTAAAAATTTATTTTCTTTCGAACTGCACATCAGATTTTGACCCAAAAAAAAATTGAACGTATAATTTAGTACAATAATATTGTGTAGTTCTTACAAATAAATTCTTGTACCTTAAGTATAAAAAAATGAATTTGGTACATCATTCATTCTTGAATTCTTACCAACTAAAAAGTACAAAATTATTCACTGAAATCGTGTACCAGTTACAAATGAATTTTTTCAATATTCAGTTCAACATGAAAAGCAGAAAATGTTATTGTTGCTTGCGTAAATTATTCTGATTCTTAGTCTATACGATAATGCATTGATGAATCATGGTTGAATCGATCTGATACGCGTATCTGTTTTTTTTTAACAAATAACAATCGTGGAAAGCAAAAGATTTTTCATGTTCAGATCTCAGTCACTGCCGGGTCGGGTACCGGGTGTGCTCTAATTTTGTACCCGACCCGGTATTTTTTTTTATACCCGGCACCCGACCCGTTTTTTTTTTAATACCTGGTATCTCACCCGACCCGGCTACTTTATACCCGAACCCCAGGCCGGGTCGGGTCGGGTGCCGGGTACCCGACCCGGCTGCAGGACACTAGTAATCAGGCTAACGGAAAGAAAATTTATTGTGAAGACTCCAGGAAAAGAAAGAAATTCCACGTATGATATTGAGATGAGCGTTGAATAATCATTGCAGCCACACAACTGAACAAAGAGCAAAATAGGCAGCATACTACACTGTTTTGTTAAGTCATTCGTCTGCTACTTTGTGTCTGTCTAAAGTCCAAATAGCTCAATAATCCATCCAGATTCTATATTGAATCATGCTTCACCCTATTTCTAAACGCATTTTGAGTGCAATGGAATTTAGAAGATTGAACTCACACTATCAAGGGATGAGATTGGATTCGATGACAAATGTCACATGGACTAGTGGTTATCTTTCGCTTTATTACAACCGAGAGCAATTGCTGTCATCCATAACAAAAAGGTATCCTTTCTTCCTTTCTTAATGAATAAAATGACTTCCTTCTACTGTAGACCAAAACAAGGAAAATCAATCTGCAACACCATCAACATCAATGCCCATAGGCCGAGATGTTCTACAAGCTAAGATCCATTGTTACGAAGCAATATAACTATTCTGCTTTTGGTAGGCTCAAATAATACAATTGATTAGAAGTTGTTGGGTTCGCAAAACTCTTCGGAAGAGTTAGAGCTCAAAATATTCAAATCCGAGGAGCGGGAAGTGTATAGCAAAGATATTACTAGTCTCCGCTCGATCGTCAAGTCGAAACCTTATTTGTTACGCAATGCTTCTGTCGTGAAAATGCGCACTCCGACGAGCAGTACACACTTTATTCGATGTCGCATTTTGATGAATGAATTAAGTACGAACTTCACGAACAAAGTTCTTAAACCCCAACAATAGTTCCACGAAGATTGTGTTTTTCAATCATCTATATGACTGAGTATGACCAAAAACTAATCATATAATCTATCCAATGATCTTTTACCTGGCTGATTGCTTATTCTTGTTTCAAGAGTTCACATATGAATACCAATTGCTCAAAATTGAGTCCGATGATGGCGTCGAGCAATTGTAATATGAAGCTCATCACATACTTGATTCATTGCCCTAGGTCAGTGGAACTGAGTTTTTGACAATTCAACGATTTTACGCACAGGTTGGAGAACGTGACATTCTATTCAAATTAAAGATTTTTGGCATATGCTGATGTTTTTTTATTTCATTTGCTGTTCTTGTTCAGCATGGTGCCACCGATCTTCAGCCTAATGTGGGTGTTCTGATTCGATCGATAGTAACTAAGAATTTTGGCAGAGTCTCCATTTTCTTGCAGAATCTACCGCACTAAATACCGATTTTTGTCGGTGTTGCTGGTCTGCACAAGGTAATCGCTGTATTGCTCTTGATTTATTTGAATTTTTATATTGTATCAAGTCAGATATTGATACGCATGTTGGCCAAACAATGAAGTATTAAAAAACAGTATTTGAAAACACTGACTTTTTTCTTTTGTGAATTCAGAAACTTTAACGTTTACCATATGTAAGCTGGATTTTCCTCAAACAAGCGCAGATATGTTGGAATATATGTCTTACTTTTCTCTTGATTGACTTGTGTCAATGATGGTATGAGTTTCATTGGGTAACCCACATTAGTCGTTACTTGAAACTACCAAATCTTGTTCATTTGCCATTTGGATAGATGTTATCTAATCCCCACCTTTCACGACAACGATAATATTATCAACTTGATTCACTTTTTTCGTCAGTATAGCTTCGATGTAAGCAGCTCAGCAACAAAACTAAAAACTCATTACGTATTCGTTTTTCTTTCCATTTTAGTGATTAGTTCGTTTTTTTTTGACGACAATCCACTTCATAATGAGACCAATCCGAAAGAACAAGATGTACTAGTACAGGGATAACCTACAACTCTTCGTGAAATCTTGAATAGCATCCCAACACTAGCAGGCATAGCTCATTGAGAATGGTGTCGTTACTGAAGCAAACAGCACTTCGGGAACTGTCAAATGCGCAAAGTTCCTATGTTTACGTTGTAAAAACGCCAAATGACAAGAGTTTTTCATGGTAAAGAGGCGCCTCTCTTGTAGCAATATAATTAAAGACTCAATAATGCCACCTGATGAGACGCGTTGGACTGCACCAAACTGTTTTGATAGCTCTCATCACACCCCGCACCTCACATCCATACTTACACCCTGATTTACCAACCTAAATTTACCGTTATTTAGGTGGAGTTGTTTCATTACGAACAATTGAGTTGTGAGGTCAAATGATCAAAAGCAATGACTTTATCAATTGATTATTCTCTTCTCATCGTCTATGCACAGTTCGGACTAAAGCTAGCATCTCAAAGGTTAAAAGCCATCTCGGTCAGCGAAAGCGACTGTTGACAAGAAGATTCGCTATTGCAATGAATATCTCAAGCAGGAACCCAAAGAAAATATAACGTGAAGATCTTGGTTCTTATCCATACGAGAAAGTTCAGCAGCCAAAGCTTAAAGATATTCGAGAAAATAAGAGGATTAAATTTGTAAATTGGGTACTGTACAATTACATCAAAGACGATACCAAAAGATGGCTTTCTACCGATGAAACGTTTTTTGGTTTCCATGGGGTAATTTATGCTTAAAATGTTCGGGTCCGTGCCATGAGCAGGCAAGCGGCCCACAAGAAGGGTGCCATTCGGGAAAAAATATTTCCGTCGAAGGTAACGGCGCGGTAAGGTGTGTATAGTGAAGGGTTGACAATGTCAGTAATTTTAGAAGATGGAACAATGGATGCAGAAAGATATATCAAGGATGTTCTTTCAAAAGCTCTAGAATCTGGCAAAAATAGTTAGGAAACGATTGAAAATACCATCAGAATGAATGGTGTGCTGATCATTCTCCTGTATTTAATCCGAAAATCCATTGATACGACACAACTAAAGCAACACTAAAAAACGAAATAAAATGTTCTGTCAAAAATGTTAAAAAAGAAAAAAAATTGAATTCTGTATTTGATTTCACTGTGCGATTACGTTTAATAAAAGAAGGAAGAGTTTTTCAATCAAGCAGATAATTGAGAAAATCAATCAAACATACTAAAATCGCAATTTATTCTGCATCACCAGATAGATGTTCATACAGTCGAATTCATTGGAGTTACATTTTTTGAACAATTAAGCTGTCAATTTCAATTCGATAGACTATCGAGAATGATTTCACACGATTAGAAGATTTTTGAAAAGCATAAGAAAATATCGAACGTACACTTTTCAACATACTGGAGCTAAATCAACAATATAAACCAAGTGTTACATCACATTAAGTATTTTTATTTAAATTTAAACAGATTTTTACTAATAATACAAGTCCATAAAGTAAATGTATCAGATTTGTCCTCTTCCTCCATCGACAAAAAGTTCGATACCTGTGACATAACTGCTATCGTCCGAAGCAAGAAAGACTGCAGCTTTTGCAGTTTCATCTGGCGTGCCGATCCGATCCATTGGTACAGTAGCTATAATATCGGTGATAAAAGTTGTCTTTGTCACTTCACTAGTAGCTACATCTCTGAACATTGTTGTTTCGGTTGATCCTGGACTCAAAGTATTGACTCGGATCTTGCGTTCTTTTAAATCGACCACCCAACATCGGACAAAAGAACGAATAGCTGCTTTCGATGCACTGTAGATGCTTGCAGTTGGATGACCTTTGATAGAAGAGACAGATCCAATAAGAATGATTGATCCACCATCAATCAATATTGGCAAGGCTTTTTGAACGGTAAACAATACTCCTTTCACATTGATGTTGAATACATCATCAAATTGTTTTTCGGTAATTGACTCAAGTGGGGCAATCAGACTGACACCTGCATTAGCAACGACGATATCCAGACGACCTTTTTCTTTCTGAACGATGTTATACAGATTGTCGAGATCGGCCATATTCGATACATCACCCTGCACTGCGGTCACATTAGTACTACCGATATTTTTCACGGCTTCATCGAGCGCTTCCTGTCGACGTCCAGTGATGAAAACATGTTCTGCACCTTCAGTGATGAATCGCTGTGCAATGGCCAAACCAATACCTTCAGAAGCACCAGTAATGAGCGCGATTTTTCTGTCAAGCTTGCCCATATTTCATCTTGTTCTAGTGATGTTTGCTTCTTGTTATTGTTAACTGTTTTTCAGTTTCTTCTATTGAATGACGTATGTGTGTGTCAATAAATAAGCCACGTCAATATCAGGTACTGAGACATGTCTATATCATCCACTTATCACTCACAAGTCACGTCACAAGGCCTTTTATTTGTTTCTGACTAATGAAAACCGAAAAGACGTACACAGTTCACTCTCGATTACTCTCTCCAAGTAATCTGTAACCTTCTTTTCTTCTATTCGCGAAGTATTCAGCTAGTACAGTCAACAACTATACCGAGAGTGGTAGTAACGCTACTTCTCCAGTTTCTCATTAAATAATAAAATAGATCTAACTATGATAATGAAATGATTCACTCTTCATTTTTGTTATATCATGCCTATCGTACTATTATTTGCATTCAGAAATATTATCATGATGATGTTTCTTGTTTTTTGCTCTTCTAGACTTTTACCTGCATCATGCTGATACTTTTTTTTTCTGTTATCATTGTGTCTATCTTCTCGCATTACTCTTAAAATTATGACGTTATTCAACTTTTCACATATAAAGAACATTCGCCAACAGAAGATGTGTCTGACAGGTGTCACATTTGCCTAATGAATAACCGGGAAGAATGGCACGTCGTCGTCGACTGTTGATACTACTTGATCGAAATGTACGTGATTAAGCCTAGGAAGCTAAATGTTTTATCAGAGTGAGTGTCATATCAGGTCTTCCTATGTTCAAGGGTGTGGGTGTGGGTGTGGAGGTGAGTGTGGATGTGTGTCATCAGTGAATGGACACCCACACCCACACCCACACCCACACCCACACCCACACCCACACCCACACCCACACCCACACACCCACACCCACGCACCCACACACCCACACACCCACACCCACCCCGACTATCGATCGAGCAAGTTAAGTCGTGGCCTACATGCCATGGCTCATATGCTAGAACTTCCAATCTAACCTCGTGAAATTAAGGCTTCAAATATTTTGCTAGACGAAAAGGAGATTACCGACTTTAGATTAGTCGACATAAGAGAAAAAAGGTAGCAAAAATCAGTAACAATAATTCATTTTCATGTGACTAATACATTGTCTGGAATAGCAGTAGAAGTATTTGATAGAGAACAACTGAGTGGAAAAAATGATGTTAACAGCTTAGAGATGGTAAGTATGAATAAAATCTCATGGAGTAATCATTTAAAAAAAAGACTTTGTTTTTCAGATTTTATATTAGGAGGTAAAATATCGGATATTCTATCAGACAAAATATCATCGACAAGTTGGTCTTGTGAAATGTATCATATCTCCCTCGATCAACAACAAGATGTGCGAGAGGCCATGCGGCAAGCAACTCAGTGTGTAGACGATGCCGATGTGCTGCTGGTTGCAGCAGGTGCTGGAATGGGTGTCGATGCTGGCCTACCAGACTACTACGGTGGCATTCACATAGCACACCCTCGTCTAGCAGGAATGGGACTGAGTGTATACGACTTATCCAACCATGCATTGTTCGAGCACAATCCTGCATTAGCATGGGGTCACTGGGTTACAAGACAGCGTGAATACATGAATACACTGCCACATGCTGGCTATCATGTACTTCATGCTTGGAGTAAATGTAGCAAACGCAATGTACGTGTTGTAACGACGAACTTGGATCGCCATTTTGTACGCGCAGATTTCACACTCGACAATGTATTCGAGATGCATGGATCAATGTATGATGCACAGTGCATGCATGACTGTGGTGTACATCCATGGCCACTTGACATTGCAAATATGCCATCAGTTGACTTGAACACAATGTTACTACTAGGACCTCCACCATTATGCATACGATGCGGTGGTCCAGCACGTGTATGCACGTCATTGGCAGTAGATGGCCATTGGAATACAGCACATGTTGAGGTAGCACGTATGCATCATGAAACATTCTTTCGTGAATTGCCAGTTGAACGAGTGCTGACTGTTCTGGAAATTGGCTGCGGCACTGTAATGCCCAAATTACGTACAGAGGCGGCACGCATCGTATCAGAACATCGCATGCGTGGAGGCTGTGCGGCACATATTCGAATCAATTTACATCAGGCACATATTGAAAACCATGAAGACAATATCTCGTTGCCTCTTGGTGCATTAGAAGCATTACGCACAATGAATCAATTGCTAACCGATTAATGAGGCAATGTACTGAGTGAAATTTTGAATTTATTGTTGTTACTTCATACTTGAAATAGTAATAGAGTGGAATTAACACTGTTGGCAGTACCTGACTCAAAACTCATTCGCTTATTTTAGGATTTTCTGTTATCATATGTCAAAATTAGTTCTGAATGAATTAAACAAGTGCTGGCTAAAGTATTTATGAAATCACTGTTTTGCTAAATGTTTTTGTGCTGTCTCATTTTCTATTTTTGAAACATTGTGAGCTCTATACTTTCGAAATTTGTGTGGTAGATTTTCTTTTTTTGTATTATTTTCATTTTACTTCAAGATGAAAGTTCTTTCTTGTTAGTATTAAAGTTAAATATTTCAACGTTTTTTAAACAAGTAACACTTTCTAACTGTTTTCGAAACAAGAGTTGTGGTTGAACCATTCATGAAAAAGGTGAAAGTATGAAATATGTTTTATACTTATAATGACCTTATTGCATATACATTGCTTTCTAAATATATTTTTGAAATTTTCATTTTTTTTAATTTTATGGTTATTTGTGATTTAGATGCATAATAATAAGTAGCTTTCATCAAGAATCCATTCACTGGATCCTAGACTGACGGAATATAGATATGAATTATGTGGGTATCTATCCATAAACATATTTTAAGTGAAGCTTTAAATAAATGCAGGAAATGACTTGACAAGTAGCAGCAACTTGTTTCATAAAATCAATTTTTTCCCAATATAAAACTTGTTTTTTATATTTATAAAGAAAATCCAATTTGCAATATGCTATAATGGTCTAACTAAGTTCAGTTTATGCATGTAATGCTATTGATTTTTTTGACAGAAATTCTGTCAAAGCTTGTCAATGGTTGCACTGTTGCAACCATATTCAATTTTGATATTTCATATTGTTCTTAAGACTCGATTTTATACTTCGAACAGAACTGGAGTACAGGACAACTTTTTCTGTCCTGGCGGGCGGCACGACAGAACAGGACAATAACCAGCACAGTAAGAATCTTTGTTTTGAATTTCTATGACCAAAGCACGTAATACTTTATTAGTTAAGTTATAGCCAATTTATTTCATGTCATTTTTAAATACAACATCTAAAGTTATAACAACATTAATATTATAAATACAATAAAATCTATAAACATCTTGATTTATTACTTTAATAATGCATTCATCACAATAAAAGAAGATATGAAAAAGCATGAGTTGCCTGGGGCTTTCTCATCATTATCTTAACATATAGTGGATACTATTAATAAAAAAACAATGACAAAGCACTTAACAAAAAAACGATACACAATAAAAGAAACAATAAAAAAAAGCAAAAAATAATAAACGTTCTTATAAAAATATTCAATTTTTTTGCATTGATTGAGTCAATAAAACGTTATCCAGCTGCTCAGGATTAAGACTAGTTCTTCTTTCTTGAATAATCAAACCAGTCTCCGAGAACCGTCTCTCTACGCTAGCTGATGCAGCTGGTATGGAATGAATAGATCGGGCATATCGAAATAAACGGAAGAATTTATCTTGATGCTCCTTCTAAAATCGCAAAGGATTACATTCTAGTTTTGATTTATCAAGTTTCAAATTAAGATAACGATCAAGTTCGTCAACTTTTCTACCACCAGATGAGAATGCTTCAATTTCTTCGTCTGATTCTTCTTTACTTTCTTCATCAGTACCTAAATTACTGGATTCATATCGACTAAATAAATCTTTGTTAAATTTATTGTGCAATGGTTTTGTCACTTTGTTGCTGATCTGCTTCATTTAGCTCAATATGAATTAATTTCAATTGTTGTCTAACGTATGCATGCCAATCGGAATGCTTCTTCTGGGAACATACCTTTAAAGATCGATACTTCGGGCGAAGAAGTGTCGCTAAATAATGTGTAATATCCCATGTAAACATCTCACTTAATAAACACCTGATGCGATTCATGAAGAAGGTAATACCTAAAGCAATGAAAAATTTTCATCTTCAGATTGATAGAAGGCTTCTTATTTCTCTTCGTATTGAAGTTCTTCCAACAAATCTTCATCTACTTCTTCTGATTCTTCTCCTGATTCATCATCACCATTAGTGCCATTGTACTTTAATAATGCTTCATATGAGTTCATTACGTCTCGTAACGTTTGAATCGACAACAAGACCATATGCAACGATGGAAAATGGCCTGTTTGAATCAACATAATCACATGTTTATAAGGTTTTACTAACAATATAATTCGTTTGATTATTTTTTCATTGATGTTGTTTATCAGATGAAAAACTCAGCGTTTTTTACCTAGCAAAGACATAAATTTGATGATATATACTTCCTTTACCCACATGGAGTATTACGACGACCAGAAATGGTCGTATATGGTGAAAGTACGATCGTATACGTGCCCCAAGCTCACATTTTGGTATGCACTGTATTACGGTCGTATATCGCCGGAGGGAGGGGGGGGCTAGACAATATCCCCAAAAATCGAGAAATTGTTCCATTTACAGCGGAAATGCTTCCACCCACATAAAGTCAAGCAGAAACACTTCTTAAAAAACACAATAAATTCTCTCGAATCAATCCCCAAGAGACATTCTCAAAATTGAACAAGTAGAAATCCATCAGCTATTTCTCCCCTCATAAGAAGAAATGGAAAATAGATAAGCGAAAATCGATCGTATTCTTTTTCATTTCAATGGAAAAATTCTAGTAGAAATAGTTTTTAGTAGATAGAAATCGAAATAATGCAAGAACAGTGAATCATAGATATATATTTATTTTCTTTTTTTCCATTTCTCCTTGATAAGTGTGACTTTTTATGGGGCGAACCATTTCTACTGACACAGGAACAATTTTCCTATCGATTGGTCCTATTGTCCACTGCTGATTTCAATCAGTTTCGTCACCATTGGTACTGAAAGCAAGAAGCAAAGCCTCAATCAATTGGATTCATCATTAATGTACACTCAAATCATGAAGGAAATTTTATTAACGATTGATTTCAACCAACAACATATCAATGAATTTGTTTCGTACTGTCACAAGGTTTTCGTCGACAATCCGGATGATCTTGATCACGTCAACAAAATTGAAAAAGAATACCACCAGCATCCTCCAATTTGGTGGTATACCTACCAATGTCTTTTGTATGTGATGCTTGATCGATCATTACGAATGGTGAAGGTCGATTTTATCGTAAGCATGGGATTTTTCATCCGTGATCTTCTCAATCACCTTGTTGAGGTTCAAGCTCAACAGTTTGATGGACATTCAACTTCAAATTCATTTATTGTTTCCCGTGGTCAAGGACTGTCGCAAACAGACTTCGATCAAATGGTCAAGACACAAGATTGACTTTTATCATTTAATAACTTTTTATCGACTATTTCCAATCGTGAAGTATCCCTCGACTTTATTCGTAAAACTATGGAAACATCCGATCTAATTGGTGTTTTATTTGTCATAAAAATTGATCCATCCATTCAGTTAACTCCATTTACGAATGTTCATGACATCAATTATGTCCAAGGAGAAGAAAAAATTCTCTTCTCCATGCATGCCATTTTTCGGATTGGATCAATCAAGCAAATCGATAAAAATGATCGACGTGGGTAAGTCGATTTAACATTGACTAGTGGCAACGATCCAGAACTCCATGCACTGGCAGAACACACACGAGAAGACACCTATCCTGGTGTGGAAGGATGGGATCACTTAGGTATACTGTTAATGAAACTTGGACAATTCGACAAAGCCCAAGAGGTATATAAGATTCTACTTGATCAAGTAACGACTGATCGGGATAAAGCATTTATATATTATCAACTCGGATGGGTGAAGCAGAACCAAGGTAAATATGCAAATGCCATTGCCTACTATAAACATTCCATTGAAATCAAACGGAAGATTTTCTCACCAACGGATATTGCTTTGGGTGCTTCTTATGACAACATTGGCTCCGCATATGAGAGCCTAGATGACTATTCAAATGCACTTTCATCTCGTCAAAAAGCACTGGAAATCAAACAAAAAGTTCTTCCTTCAAATCATCCTGATTTGATCACTTCTTATACCAATATTGGTGCAGTGTATAATAGCATAGGTGACTATTCAAAGACACTTTCATCTCATGAAAAAGCAATGGAAATTTGTGACGGCACTCTTTCTTCAAACCATCCAGATTTGGCCACTTCCTACAACAACATAGGGTCGGTATGTGAAAAAATCGGTGTGACTATTCCAAAGCGCTTCCACCTTTCGAACGTGCTATTGAGATAGGACAACGTTCTCTACCAACAAATCATCCTCATCGTGAACTATAGGAGAAAAATCTCAAAAGTTTGAAAAAGAAGATGTAGCTGAGTTTTGTTATGTTCAAAGCAATAAATGAAATAAAGAGAGAAGAGCATTTTTCTTTTTTTTTTTATCTGAAGACATATGCGTGCGAGCCAACCTACAGAGAAACTGTGTGCTATTGCGTACACCATGAAGCCATACCCACTTGTAAGATAGTCAATACATGTCCAAATGATAGACATATATAGTAAATAAAAAAACCTTCACGGTGTAGTTTGTTGCAATAAGAAGAGTTTCTGTGTGGAATATAGAACTTTTCAACAGACTCAAAGAAAACAAAAAGAAAATTCTTTAATTTATGTTATGAATTATTCTTTCTGTTCCAATAAAACAATAATTCATTGCATGAACAAAGGAAAAAACGTGACAATGCTCACCGATTGAATGATTTATTTCTAGATATAGTTGAATCACTATTACATTTGGAACAGAAAGAGTAATTCAACTATACATATAAGTAATTGATTTAATTCGTCAGAGAGAAAATTAAGAGTTGAATGCATTGAAAATGATGACTTTATATGCAATTGAAGAAGATAAGTTTTCTTTGTTTTTATTGTTAGGAAAAGAAATTCACAGTTGATTGATTTGTTTATTCATATGCAGATGAATATGTCGGTCAATTAATTATAAAATAATTAAAAAATGAAAAAGAAAAACGGTAGTCTAGTTGGTCAATTTCTAGCTTCATATTTGAAAAAAAGAATCATGTTTTCCCCAAACTTTCTAATCGTTTCTTCAAGTAAATTTTGTTTCAAATTAGCTTTGAATAACTAACAATAGAAACTTCTGAAATATGTGTCTGAGATATTACCCATAATTCATACATTTCTCAAGTCAAGGGTTCAGAAAAAATATTAAGCGTTGAGATTTTCTGACAAAATCGTTGCCGTTAAAAACATTCCAGTCACAGTTGTCATTATTTAACATAATTCCTATTCACTCAATAGTTTTTCCAATACTAAAAAATTTCATATCATCGATTTCATTCTTATTAATATTACTTTTCCCATTATTCTCTCGTAAAATCTGATGTCTTCGAAGTTATTTTAGATTTTTATTTTTCGATTTACTTTATTATCATATTGGTTCACCATCAATCTTTGATTCATTTGGTACAATAATTGTCTACATAAAAGAACAACAAGCCATAATAATACAAAGAAAAGCCAAAATCCTCTGTTGTACAAGAGAATAACATTACAATAATGTGGTTTTTGTTCATGTTATTACTATTACGTAGCAATTAAGATAACAAAAAAATAATCATTCGTTTATGACCAACAAGAAAAAACGAACGAAAAATATTTATTAATATACTATGTTAATACGGTACATGCATTTATTTTATTTTCAATGAACATCTTTAATATTAATCTAACTATCTATCATTATAAATTGTTCAGTCTTTGATTGATTTTCATTTAATACTAGGGAACTGCAAAATCACTTTTTTTAGTCCCGGTCCCGGTCAAATTTTTTTCCAGTCCCGGTCCCGGTCCTGGTCTTTGACAATGGTTTCATTTCTAAAATCGAGCAACTTTTTTTAACGATTTGTGTACTTTTATGAATACATAAAATTGACATGAATGATTTTGATTCGTTAACAGTACGAAAATTCTTTTATATCCAGTGTTAAAGTGAAAGAATTTCACTGAAAGCTCGAATAANAGATTAAGTACTAATGAATGTAAATTTGATAAGAACATTAATTCATAGAAAATTTTCTTGAGACTTTCCATACTGATATTATCAAGAACCCATGTAGTGAAAACCGGGAGAAAACCGGCGGTTTACCGCAGTTGTACCGATCCAGTTACCGGCTCCCATACAGCGAAAAACCGGTGGTTTTTTCCGGTTAACCGCGATTTTTTCTAGCTAACTGCGGTTTTTTCAACTAACCGCGGTTTTTTTCGGTTTACCGCTACATTTTTCCGGTTTACCGCGGTAAACCGACGGTTTTGTTCGATTTACCGGCTCCTAGCTGGTAAACCGCGGTTTACCGCTAATAATGATCTGGTTTTTGCGACATGGGAATTAATGTTTCAAGACGAACAAAATCTGAAATAATAGGAGGTGATGATAAGACAATATCAACAGCAAATGGATTTGATAAAGAAAGTACATTAATTCGATGTTTATTTGGAATAACTATATTTCTATAATAATCTTGAAAATTTGATTTTGACACAGCTGGTGTATTAATTGTAATTGGAAAAATTGAATAAAGAACTAAATGTTGAAATCGTTTATTAAGATAACAAAAACCATTATAAACATCATAATCATCAAGATATTCAAATATTTCATAAATCATTTCATTTGCCAAATGTTCAAGAATAGATCTAGATGAAATTAAAAAAATGAGAAGAATTATAAAATAAAGTAGAATTTTACATGACTCATCTATTCGATTCAACTTTTATATTTCCGTTATAATTCAACTTTGTGTCGTTTCTTGATTGCATTGTTTGTTCTATGTCTAGAAAATAAATAAAAAAAAATTATCGACAATTGTATGACGACGAAAAAGAAAACATGCATAGAATAGCATTAGACGATCGTTTATATATATCATATCGAAGTTACACCAGTCAACAATTTTGACGAAGTTATAACTTCGTCGATGACATTCATCGAAGTTACAACTTTGACAAAGAATTTGCTGATCATCCTAATTTAAGTGAACTTAAAATCTTCAATTTTAATGGTGAAATTGCTTCACGTTATTTTATAGGTAAATAACTTATACTGATCTGAATAAAGATTTATATAAAAAATTGTAGTATAGATAGACTAGATAATATCTATTTTTTTATTTAATTGAATCACCATTTCGACATATTTTTCAACAACAAATTACAGATCTTATTCTTGTATTTGAAAATAATTTTAATGAAATATCATGTAAACATTATACAACAGATGTATATGGCTATGTTTTGAAATTCTTCGAAAATCTAAAGCATTTATCTATTATTGGATCATTTCCTAAGTCTTTTCTACCTTTAATACTTCGTGATTTACCTTTAACTACTTGCTACTCTTCAACTATTTACAAATTATGTATTCATGTAATGTATTATGATGATGTTCTTGCTTTACTTGATGGTCGTCTCAATCAATTAAATACATTAAATGTTGTTATTATTTAATGAGGAATGTAATTCAATGAATGTTTACAAAATGGTAAGCTTTGACTTTATTCGATTAATCTTTTCAGTTTAACAAACAAAATACTATTGATCACGATAATAAATTGTTTTTATATTATTATTGATAGATTTTTTTGTTAATTAATTACCCTTTATTTGAATGAACTATAACTAAATAATTGTAAAACAAATGTTCGTCTAGTTGAAAGAAAGAAATAAAATAATTGAGTTTCATTGAAACAAACAACAATGATATGTTTGAAGAGTAAGACTGAAAATATTTATCCTCATATAGTTAAAAGATATATGTAGTTGTTTGACAAATTGACAAAAGATCAAATTTATTTGAATCTAACTTTTCCTTGAGCAGCTGAAAAAAATCCTTGCTTTTTGTTCTTGTTTTTAGTCATTTTCGTTATTGTATAATAGAGGAAAAAACAAATAGGACGAACAAAATCAATGAAGCTTATTTTAATGACAGAATTTAAACAGGAAATTCTCATTTGAAGTAATATTCAGTTAAATCAATAAAAATAATCTTTTGTACACTTCATTTTATCTTCGAAGAACAGACCTTCAAAGCTGATTTTCTTGTTGACTTATATTCAGTAAATGAATTCGATATTAGAAAAATAAAAGAATATTCTATAATTACTTCGACAAAGATTATTACCTTGTCATCTTTAAAAATATATTTTCGTACCACTATTTCCATATTAAGACTACACCGAATTGTTGGTATTTAATTCTCAAAATCAACGGATTTAAATCAAAGCTGATTATTAATAGTTTGACTAACATTAAGGACTTGGTGACGAAAACATCTTTTTTTCAACTAAACTTGATTCAAACTAAGTATACAAGAGAAACTGATCAAAAACAGTAAAGATTTTATCTGTCAGTTGATCGACACTATTCGAATAATTACTTCATGTTGAATATGACGATCATAAATATTTGAATGACCTTTAAATTCAATTGAAATTAACGTTTATGAGAAAAATAAAGTTCCTCAAAAATAAAATGGCGAATTGACTGGCTGCTTAATGTAGTTCTTTACGAGGCTTTTTCCTTTTCTTCTTTCTCGATGTATGCATCAAACATTGTCATTTTCTGTCGTGATGATATCAAGAAGCAAAAGTCAGGAAATACTCGTCCCAACGCAAGAGTAAAATTTCATGATCAAATCGATAGCGTCCATTTCGTTACAGTGTGCCATTCAATAAGATAAGTTTTTGTGGATTTGGTTTTTTTTTAAGCTTCGACGTTTTTAAAACGGAGACAGTAACAAAATTCAGTCGCAAGTCGATTATGAATCAGAGAGAGAATCAAGCGATTAATGCAAGATATTCTATAAATCATGTTTATATCCGTTAAGAGAGTTCTCCTAGTTATGAATTTTGCAATAGCTCCTTTACAGTTACTTTCTGACTTCGATCATTTGATTATTTCAAACGTAACTTTTCCGTTTTACAGCGACAATGTTTTGTTTTTGAAAAACATGGTTGAAACTGTTAATAATTAATACCATTAAAAGCGACATATTCTGTATCAGTTGTTTTCGAAAATTAGAATAGAACTGAATTGTGACCATCAATAATATTAACTATATATAAATATATGCGAAGTTCTTCCTGACGAGGAAGCGATCCAAATTGAGATGTTGTTGTTTAAACCCATGCTGGATCTGCAAAGATGCCTTGGTCAAACTACAAAAAAAAGACCAAAAGGATTCGTTTTCATGAACCTTTGGAGCGGAATTATGATCGTTTGACTGAATTCTCGATCCAACATTGAATAATTATATGTCGAAAAATCAAATAGCAGAATTTCAACATGAAATTTTACTGACTTATCGATCTCATTATGTATAGAGTATTCTGAAAGTTTCAGCCGCAAAGAATATCTTGTTTTTGTTGAGTATTAAATTTTCAAGTAAACTTGATTCTTGATATCATGCTTGGAGGAAATGAATATTTTTTTGGAAAGTTAATATCTCAACAAACAAATCTCGTGTACGACTTAAAATTTTAGAATATTCTACAAAAGCCGCTCGACCTATAATAAATAGGTGAAAATTCACGTCGGCATTCTGCTCTTCAATTTTTCGGTATATGTACATAAAGTTGCGTAGAAAATTCAATAATCTTTGTGAATAATAATATCTTGATGACACTATCTTTTATATGTAAGAAAACTATTCGACTATTTATATTAGCAGTAGAACAAGGTGAAATTATTCGCAAGAAGCAACTTTCGGGATATATTGTAAAACTCTTCACCTTATTCACGAAGGTTTTGCTTCTTCAAGTAAAACATTATAGCATAATAATATATAAATATTTTTCTTTTATTCTTCATGTAATAAAAAAAAAGGAACTTCGCTCTTTGATTCTTCTCTCGAGAACAATATACAGCAAAGAATAATAAGAATTCTAAGTATCTATTTGCAAAGAATGTATCTTTTGTATCGAATAGATTAATTTATTAATCAAACCAAGCGCCATCTATTGTTATTTATTCATCATTGGCTATAAATATAAACCGATAGAGTTTAAAATCGAAGCCCCTTTGATAACGTTTTTTTTTTCTTGTTCAGTTTGCTTCTCTCTCGTTCGAGATTAATCTAACCAACACTACCACGTGTATCACATTGATATATATAAATATATATATTTTTTTAGATTTTGTGTTTGTCTTTATTTTTCATTCATTCTTCCTTCGTAATAAACAAGCAACTTTTCTATGGCTTCATGTATGACATTAAAACGTTCGTTTGAACACGATCGAGATTCTAATACTAATTCAACTCCATATGAATCAAGGACACCATCAAAACGTCAACGTCGTTGTTTTCCAGTAACAGTTGTTGCATCAACTAATGAAACAACAGCAGAAATGTCATTTGGAAATCAAACAGTCTTTCCTGATGTTCAACCAATTTTAACAGCTGGTAAAATGAAAAAAGAAAACTCTTATTATATTCGTTTTTCTTTTGTTTTTATATTAGATGCTTTATTAACACGAATAAAAGAAGAAGTACGTCGTCTTCAACGACGTCATCAATTAAAATCATCGTCAACAGATGCATCTGATGATGATAATCATCATACAACTGATTCAACATCATTAAATAATTTACCTGGACATTCATCATCAAATAATCAACATCTTTTAACACTTAAACAAGTTAATATGATATGTGCTCGATTATTAAAAGAACGTGAAGAAAAAATACGTGAAGAATATGATCAAATTTTATCAAATAAACTAAATGGTAAAAAAAAGAGTCAATTAAAATTTTTTTTTACCGAAATAAATTTCTTTGTTTAGAGCAATATGAAGGTTTTGTTCGATTTACGCAAGATCAATTAACACGACGATTTTCTGAATTACAATTTTCTTGTACGTATCGAATAATTCTTATTTTCAAAAAGATAAATCATTAAACATAATTTCTTCATTTCTTTTTAGATGTTTCATAATATCGAAAAATTCCGACATAGACAAAGAAAAAAAAAACAATCTCGTTTCTTCTTTTGGTGCTGGTCAATTTACATTTTTTTTTTGTGAAAAAGAGAACATCATATTAAATTGTTGTATTATTGTCTTCTGGTTTTTTTTGTTTAATGATATTCATATCTATATGCTTCTTTTTTCTTTTTTTTTTGGTGCGATTAATATGAGCAGATAGGAAAAGAAGAAATTTGGAATAGTAACAGACTAATGCAGACTATAATTGAAAAACAAAAATAATTAAGATATACATGCATAAATACATATTTAAAGATTCTCTTTGTATTTTATCTTTTCTTTATGTTTATTAGTTTCGATGTGTTTTTTTTTCATTTTGGCTTCTTGTGGATATAAATATATATATAAACGTATGTTGCATTCGAGAAGAAATTTTCACTTCCTTTTTTTTTTCTTTTGTTCTTAAATAAAGTTATTAAAAAAACAAAACAAAATACAAACTAAATTAAGCGTCGTACTGTATAGTCTAGATAATGAATTCAATTAATGGTTTAATGTCGACGATTTCTTTAATGAAAAGGTTAGTTAAATATTATCTTTGTTGTTCGATGTTGTGAAATAGCTTTGTTTCGTTTTTCTTTTAATGTTATCTCAATTGCTATGTGCACTTATGCATATGTGAATATATGTGAGAAATATTTAACTAGATAATAGCAATATGCGATTGGTTGATACTGTATGTTGATGCATGTTATATGTAGATTAAAAGCAAAAAAAAAAAAACAAATCAAGTATCAAGTGAATATGTAAAAGGAAAAAAAAGAAACGAGCTGATGCACAGCATTAATATGCAGATGGAGGTTAAACTTTCGATCACAGTGATGATGAGAGAAAACGGAATGTGTTTAGCGAGCGACAAGGAGAACGAGAAAAGAAAAGAAAGAATTACCACCATTATAATGTATATATACACTGTTCGTTCTTTCTACTGTCCGAACGATCAGCGAAGGCCGAATATCGGTCACAAACTTACAACGTGATTCTTTAAGCTTTTTTTTTTTCTTTATGATACGTAGCTCGATTTTATAGAGCTATTTCAATAACAAGGGATAACAAGTAAGTTTGCATTGAAGAAAAGAAAGAAAAGATGTGTGGTTTAAGTACATGGATACCGAGAAGATTTTGATGTTTCATATCAATAGTAATGAAAGACAGTTAGTGTAAGACACGAGAAAACACATTACGATAACCGAAGAAAGAGAAAGAATAAGAAAAAAGAGAAGAATTTGTAGTAGCAAAATAATTCAGAGAAAGGAAAGTAATAAAAAAGATGATACATTGGTTAGTCTCGAGAGTAAATCATATAAAAAATAGCACAGAATGTGTCACTCAATATATTCGATTATACAAAAGTGCAAAGTCCATGTATAATCTTTCATCATGATTCCATTAGTTATTACGCCATACGATTGATTTTATTTTGATGTTATTTTTTTCAAAGAAAAATATTTTTTTTTAATTCAACGAAAAATAATAATCGTCACAATTATAGAAAGAAAATGACTTTCTAACATGCAGCTATTAATATAAGAATTCATATATATATATATATATATAGGTCAGAGGAAAAAAATCATATCTCGATATTATTATATATGCCAGCAGCCATGCATACAAAAAGCTGGCGGGATAAAGAATTTCTTTTCTTGTGCGTGTGGCTATAATGTTAAGGAACATACATCCTTCTAGCGTCACCTCAAGTCATATTATTTGGATTACTGATATTTATCGAGATTATTGTAATAATAGAGTAGGATAATGATGGTGTTTTCAGAAGTTTTTCTTATTCTTCGTGTTTCTTTGTGTGATCATTCTTTTTTTTGTTATTTTACTGCTACCGTTGTGTATTTCTCATAGAAGGAGAATATCTATTATTTAGTGGCAGAATGGCAAACAAAAATTTGAACATGCTTGTCAACAAACATAGGTGATCTGCATAGAAGACAATTGCTTTATTTAAGTTTCTGTCGGTTGGTAGCCATTAGTATAGTTTTTTTCTGTGTGCAGCTGTTTGTTTTCATCGTTCTCTTAAAGAAACACTTGTCAATCAGTCGATACTTCTTGCTTCTCTATTTTTTTCTACAATTGTTTATTACGAAACCAAATAGATGTCTTTCAGTAATTTGTTTTTCACTCAATAGAGTAACGTTACTATTCAGAAATTCATCTCATCTAATCAACTTGCATACGAGGTTTTTTTCTCTCTGAAACGATATGTACGTAGAAAATGTTGTTAGAGAAAGACGAAGAAGAAAAAATGAGAGTCAACGGAGAGGGTAAGAGAAAGAAAGAGAAGAAATGCAGCAAATAACAGAAGAACGATAGATCTTCGTGTTTCTTCAAGGTAGTATCCATAATCGTAACTGTTCGTCGCTTTTTTCCGGGTATTATATCGAATGGTGAACGTTTCAATCGTGCATAGTCGATTTTTATGTTCTATTACCTGTTTTTATGATTATTAGGAAAAAAAAAAGAATCAAGATAAACAGAACATTGAATATGTACAAATTTCAAAAATGATCGACGAGAAAAAGCCTTCAGACATGAACGATGAAAACAACAACCATAGCTATGATATATGATCAAGTTCAAAGATTATAGTTAGAATACATATTCTGTTTTATTATCATTTTCTCAATTCGTTTTTCTTCCTTCGAATCTTTTCTCTTTGACTATGTTAATTCATAAACAGATTAAAATAATTATATATTAATTGAAAAAAATCATAATGATTATTGAACCTCGTCGCCGAAAAAGTTCGGTAACATTTTCTGTACCTGATGATCATTATCATCAACAATATTATGCACAACGAACATCAAGTTTTGCTGAATCAGATTTGGATTATGGTTAGTAAGATAAATGTGTGCTGTGCATGTCGCAGTAGTTTAATACGACTAAATAATCTTTTTGTAATATAAATACATCTTGCACGATAAAAATGATTTATATATGTATATATATAGTATACTGTTTATTGTTTTTTTTTTTCAACAAAATAACAATCTAACAACAACAAAACGTATAGAATGAAGGACAAAATTGAATACGACATATGTAATAAATTTAGTTATCATTATTTGAAAATAAATCACCTGACTCATATTTGATCACACTTTATACACTCTACGGCATACAATAAATTTCGTGTGTATTTTTAAGTAATTCAGTAGAAGAGTTTTGCGTAGTAGCGATAATGATGAAAAGAACGTCGAGAAATCCTATGGATATTGTATCTAATAATGATACAATTTCTCAAAGCAATGATGGTGTGTCATAAATTATTTCCTGTAATTCAATTAATTATATTATTATTTTTAATTCTTTAGAGCCAACTATTTCGACAATTAGTCCAATATCATTGGCTATGGCTCGAGCATTACGTAGTGTTAAAACCTTTAAAAAAAGTTGGGATTCTGATAAGGCACTGAAAAGTACATATAAAGGAAAATTTGGCAAACATCAATTACGTGCTTACATCTTTTTGGTTTTGGGCTATGCTGTCGTTGTAGCATGGCTTACAGAGATGCCTGTATTTGCATGTAAGAAATTGTTTTCTTTTTATCTAAATAAATTTTTATGGAATGTCTATTTAGTATTACAACCAAAATTTATCAATTGTACACCAATTTATCCAAATGTTTCGAATATAGAAACAGTCAATACAACATCCCTTTATACAACAACCATCAATACAACACCCCTTCAATCGAAACCCCAGAAATTAAAGCCTTCAAATTCAATAGAAACACCACTAAATTCATCGAATGGTAATGCTCGAAAGACTGCTGATGGACCAGTGCAAAAAATGGAACCAATATATAATTATAGCCAAGAATATGGACGAAGTGTACTTACTGATGTAAGAATAAGTTCATTTTATTAAAGAAAAAGATTGACCATATTCATGCTAAATTAGTACTTTCGTTGCCAACTAATAAATTTAAAATATGAGTTGTTGATGACATTTACACACCAAGATATTTTTATTTTGTAATAAAGCCCAAGTTAGTCTTACTTTTAAATAAGAGCCAGAATGAACCCGAATCTTTGATTTTGGATACAAAATCTTTTAAGCATATTTTTTCTTATTTAACTTAATGAATTCTTTCTTACTAAATGTAAATATTAAATTTTTTAGTTCAATATCTTTTGTGATCCGATCCGTGTGAAAATACCGAATATTGTTTATCTTATTGGTTTGATTCTTGGAGGTCTTATATTTGGTTATATTGCTGATCATAGTGGAAGAAAAATGATTTTAATTGGTAAAAAAAGTCAAAATATTCATTTTATTTTAATTTTTTTTGTAAATATAAATTTTGTTTTTTTTTTGTTTCCTAAAAGGATCAATGTGGACAGCATGTGCTCTATCAATATTTCAACTTCTAAGTGATGATTATATATCTTATGTTTTCTTTATTCTTTTCGTCGGTATTGCCATTGGTGCTGTACAAGTAATTACTGTACCTTATGTTATTGAAATGGTAAATAAATAATTGTTATTTTATCTTTAATTGTTTAAAATATTTTTTGTTGTTTTTTTTTAAATAGTTTCCTAGTGAATCTCGAGCAATCTTTGCTCTATTATTAACAGGTGCAGTATTTATATTGGATTTAATTATTCCTGGTCTTGCATTCGTTATAAAAAACTGGAAAATTTTACAATGTGTTGTTTCAGCACCATTGGTTATAACTGCCGTTCTTTATTGGTGAGTTTTTAATGAGAGAAAAAAAAATTTAGTTTTTTTATTAAATAAAAAGAATCTTTCAAATAGCATGAGTAGTCAACAGTATAATAAATATATTAGACAAAGATAGTGTCATGCAAATAAAGAATAAGTCAAAATGAAAATAATATCTATTGACATCCTATTCAAACAAGATGATAATATGACGTGACATGCATACTGTCGGCGTATGATGAGATATGATGCTTGAATGAATTGGTTAGTTGCTTTTTTTGTAATGAAAGTATAGACTTTGAGTACAGCCGACCGGAACCGATGAGCTGTAATTGTGAGTGAAAGAGAAGTTTGGAAAACAAATTAGATTGGCTTTCGAACGCTAATATAAATCAAGCGGAGCTTTGAACAATGAGAAAACTAATTAAATTTATTTTCTATTTTCGTCTATTTCGAATTGTTTGTATTATGTATGCTTTATTAATTAGACAGGACAACTACGAGACTTAGTAAATCAAATATGAAAGAAAAAATAAACTTTATGAACTTTGCAGTCTTGACATCTTCTCTTTTCTTGTAAAATCAAAACTTCATAAAATGACTATATTATTAAAATGCTAAAGTATTAATAATAGAGTAATTTGAAATTTTCGGAAGAAAATTTTACGATGGATTATTAAGTTAATTCTTTTTTTTTTAATTCGAAACTAAATGTTGAAATTTGTTTTTCTTAATATGATAATTTGGCGATTGAACATTGTTTTGCAAAACTTACTGAATACCTTTCTATTACATATTTAAATTTTGTTGTATCTGTTGCTATGACTTTTGAAAGATCGATGTATTGATGAGAAAGTATGTCACTAGGCAAATACATAGACAAAAGCTACACTTTATTTCATAATTTCATTTTATAAAATTGTATTACTCTATAAAAGTGTCGTATTGACTCATGTTCGACATCTTCACAATGAAACTTATCAGCACAAAGGGATAATTTATCGTTTTCCACTTGGAATGTTAGATAGAAGTTAATAAAAAATATATTAATTCACATTCGGAAAGAACAGAAACTTCTACTCATAAATTATTTTGGCGGCAAACAAAAGCGAAATAAATGTCTAACTTTTTAATAAATCTCTCATATAGAAAAAGGATTTGTCACTTAAAAAGAGTCTCTGTAACCTTTTATTTATTTATTTGTAATTTGAATATTTTATCAGGTTTACAGAAGAATCCATGTTTTGGTATACAACTCAAAAAGATTATGTAACAGCTGTATTATCATTAACAAAAATTGCTCGATTTAATGGTGTAGTTTTTGAAGATGTATTTCGTGAAGCACGTGATTTTCTACGTGGTAAACGTTCCAAAGGAATTCAATGTGATTTTCAACCATTACTTCGACTTGGTTTGTTTTATACTTTTCTTTTATTTTGTAAAAAACAAAAAAAAGAACAAACAAATTAATTTTTGTTTCTTCTTCTAGAGGATATTCAATTGTTGGGTTCAAAATATCCCGATTTTGATATGGTTGATTTACAAGCAACAACAAGTAAAAAAAATACATTATCACAACGTATTGTACAAGTATTAACTGGTCATCATTATTATCCAACATTATCAACATTTTATCCGACTGATTATCTTCATTCGTCAATATTAAGTATTTATTTACTTGTTATGTGCGGTCTTTGGTATGTATGATTTTTTTCAAAACAGAAAAAAAAATTCATTATATTTTATATCTAATAAATTTTTCGATTTATTTAGGCTTGTTAGTTCATTAACAGAATATAGTCTTGAAACATCAGTTTTGACTCAACATTTAACAGATCATTTTTTTCTCAATTATTTCTATACACATCTTATACAAGTTGCTTCGTTCATTATTGCATTTCCAATGGTTTATAGGTATGAATAAAACAAACTTATTAATATTATTTAAAGCAAAAAAAAAAAAATGGAAAATTTTTAATTAAGATGGGGTCGTCGATGGCCAACATTTTGCTTTTTTCTTATTGCTGAAGTTTGTCTACTTGGTTCATTTGCTGCTCGACCCGGTAATTAAATTAAATTAAATTGATTAATTAGGTTTTGTTGAAAATTAAACATAAATGTTTTAGAAAACGAAGAATTACGTAATGCAATGCTTATTGTCTATTTCGTGGGCAAATTTGCATCTCGTGGTGGTTTTATTGTTATTTTACTTTATACATGTGAAATATTTCCTACTGGCTTAAGGTAAATTAATTATAGAAAAGGAATATTATTTTATGTTATTTGTTTTCTTTGATCTAAAGATGTACAACACTTGGCATATGTTATGCTTTTCGATTGATTGGTGTAGCACTGGCTTCAGACACTGTGGTAAGAAAAAAAATCAAGATAAAAATTTATTTTTATAATGTATTTTTGTTTTTTATATAAGGCTGGATTAAACGGTGGAATGGCTCGTCTTATATATGGTATATTATCATTAATTCTTGGTTCAATGGCACTTTTATTACCCGAAACTAAAAAAATTCCATTACCTCGAACTATTATTCAAGTTGAAGTTATTCCAACATCAATAAGTAAAAATTTTCGTCGTCATCGTTCTATACCAGCTAAACGAAATATTCGATCAGATAGTACACGTCCAGAAGGTGCAAATACATTTAATGATGGTGCATCATCTGTATCTGGTATACGTTCAGTTCGTTTTGGTCCATATGATAATCAATCAACATTACATAGTGTTTATGAATTACAAGAATATGGACAAGATGATACAGTACATTCATCAGCAAGTCGATATAATCGACGAATGGACTTACGTAATCCAACTATATTTCAACCATATAGTGGAAATAATATTGAAACGCATCGACAACAAACACCAATTGCTGAAGATGGTGAATATGATGAAGATGTTGATGATGATCGAACACGTTATGCTCAACAACAACGACTTACAGAACATCATCATCGTTTTAGTGACCAACAAATGGCGAATGTTTGTTCAGATAATGATGTTATTGTTCTACCAAATAGAACAAATAATAGAAAATCATCAAATAATTCACCATCACAACTTGAACTCAAAGCAGAAATTCAAACAGGTGATATAACAAATGAACGAAATGGTTTAATAACGACAAAATCAACAGTTGATGAAAGAGTAGATGAAAATAAGCCAGACGAAAATATGTCTCAATCATCAACACGAATTGTTCATGAAACAAGAACATTTCCACCAAATATGAGTGAAGATGAAAATTATTTTTCTGAACATTGTTAGTTTACAATACAATCTTAATCTTCCTTCTAATAAACAGAGTGATACATGTTATGGCTTATACCAATGAAACACAATTTTTTTTTGTTTTTTTTTTATTCAGGCGCTTCATTCTTTTTGTTTGGCATTTAGAATTCTCTTATAGTTTAAAAAGTTCGATAAATCTTATATACCTTTATTAGGATAGCATGAATATCGTTGTATTAACTTTCAACAATAGTTGAAAATCTACTGTAAGAAAGTCAGTACGGTGAATTTCATGGTTTTCTCTTTCTTATCTTGATAAGGTGGTTGAATTAATATTTCATTTGAGTAAGTTCTCTTCTTCTATTTAATTTAGCATTAATAAATAATTAGCAAAAGCTTAGTCATGTTTCATATTTGTATGAAAAATTATTCAGACATAAAATTTAAAATAAATAATGTAATATACAATAGCATAGAAAATAATTAATTCTTTCATAATGAATTATATCATTATTTAGCTATCGCTTTTATTATCTTATTGTTTTTGTATCAATATCAAAAAATGATTAAAAAACAAAAGAAGAAAAAAATATTCTATTTTGTTGTTAATTTGTTGATACTTTTATGTTTTCGTATTTTATGTCGTTTTTTTTACAGTACAATGTTCACACAAGAATCTCATGGAAATGTAAAACGTGACTAAGTTTTTTTTAGTTATTTATTAATAGTAAAATAAATATAAAAAAAATAAGAGAACCTATTCATCCTACATATTATACAGAAGTTCTTTTGATCTAATAAAGTATTGATATGTATTGTTAGGCATCAAAGAAACATTCAAAAACGATGCTATTGTGAGAAAAAAAAACTGAATAAAAAACAACATGATTTATTTCAATGGTAAAATTTCAAAAAACTTCATGGCATTTTTATATGATATCTTATATAAATCATATTTTCTGTTTTTCGTTTGTGTTCAATGGAATTCACCAAGACCAATTTTAGAAGTTTACACTTCGATTTATACTGAAACGAATATCAACTTATGTCAGTCTTAATCAGATCACAATTTTTTGAAAGTAGATTTAGAAATTATTTTGTAAAAGTTATATCGTTATTTTGTATAAATATTCTATGGAAGTCAGATTTCCTTGGCAACTCTATTGCGAATTAGTAAGCTAATTTGTTTGTGTTAATGCTTATTTTGAATTAGTAGCTTTTACGTCGCAATTGTATGCATCATGTAGATTCTAATGAGCTATGATACTGTATTTTTAAGTCAATGATGTAGCCTCTTCAGAAACACCGAAAAAGTTGGTTTTCGAATTCAGATTGATATTTTTCAAAGTGGTAAAACCTGACCAAGTATAGTTTATTGTGAAAGTTTCAGATCATTTGATATATCGCTATCTTGAAATAAGAACATCGGATCTAGTGGTATTTGTGATTAATATACGTAAAAGACACTGTTTTACCATAGACGTTATCTTACGATAGAAGTAACGCAAAGATCTGAAACTTTCACAATAAGCTCCTCTCACGCACGGGTGCTTGTCTCTATGTAAAGTTTCAAGTTGAAATTCGAAAAACATTTTTCGTGTGTTCCTCATGGAAGATATGGCATTAACTTCAAAATTCAGTATCTTCACTCCAATAAATTAAGAATTCGATTTTTTTTCCAGAGTATTCAAGGCTCATTGGAACCTATATGATGCACACAGTTCTAACTGAAAAGTCTTTTATAGATTAAAGAATTTTCCTCGTAAAACACACTTGTATAAAAATTTCAAATGTTAATTACTGACCAGTGTCGTTAATCACATTTCGATTCTCTTGACTCTAGACTAGCGAAATTGAAAATACAGATTTTGTTAATTAATGATATTAGCTCTATTCATCTGTAAAAAAGATATATCACACTATTCATAAAGAGTAACTTTTGTTAATCATGATTAAATGTTTATATTAACTTATGAATCTCTAACTAATAATAAATCATACGCTCTTTTTTTTTCAACTGTAAACTTTCAATCAAACAACAGTAGAATAATTTAATCAATAATCATTAATTAAGTAATATCTATCGGTCAGCTCGAATCATAGTGATTAGATATTCTTTCTCAATATGTTTCATGGACATTTGAACTAATGATAAAGATAGATGAATGTGTAAATGCAAATGAATATTCCTGTTTTCTGCAACTGATTTTATCAGTCTAGAGAATATTCTTCAATTAGAATAAAACTCTAAGAATTCATTCTTATGCTTAATATTCAATAAAAAATTTGATTTCATATTTTCTGAACAATTTCAAAAACTCAAGTATTGAACATATATCGTGGCATTATTTACAAGTTTTTCTTCGATTTCTTTTTCGATACTTTTCGATCTATATCATTTACATATAATCATGGTTTGTTTTCTTTTCTTATTCGTTTCTTTGAACAATATGAAATTATGTTTTTATCTTCAGTTTATAATATTGGTTAAAAAAAAAACAAAAAAAAAGGGAATAAATATACTAGAAGAAAAATTTGACGTGTTAACACACTGTCAAATAAAGACGTGCTCATAAATCATACGAGTAATTATTTGAACTTCTTATTAACACACACATATATATATATATATATATACGCATTTCTACAAGTCAAGTATTATCAACAATTTGGATGATCTGATGTATATTCATCTAAAAAACTAAAAAAACACAAGAAATTCTAAACTTGAATGCAAATGCATCGTTGGACACCATCATCATCACCAATTCCAATAACTTCATTGGATAATATTTCAAAATTTGACAATCAACGAATATGTTTACGTTGGTGTAAAGTTTGTATATCTGCATTAGTTCTATTAGTATTTCTTAGTTTTTGTATTATCTATCCTGTACAAAAAGAAATCTTCTTTAAACAAGAACATCAAAATAAACAACAAGAACAATTTAATCACCAACAACAATTATCATTTGATACATATATTCAAGATATATCAAATATACTTTTACAACTATCAGATAAAAATTATACTGATGAAAAATTTCTTCTTCATATACAAACAAAAACATTAATGATATTAAGAGATTTAGAGATTAAACGAAAAAAGGATATTATTTTATTTTTATATGAAAGAAATCTTATTCAAAATAATCAATTAAATTTATATGGAGCTGATTTGAATAATGTTGAATTAATATGTCCACATGATTTTCATTATTTTCATTTACCTGGTGTATTATGGTCGAATGCTAAATTTATTAATTGTCGTTTAACATTTGCTAATTTAAACCATGCATATCTTATTAATGCTCGATTTATTAATTCAACACTACAATATGCATCATTAATTGAAGCAAAACTTGATAAGAGTTATTTCATACATGCAATAATTATGAATGTTAATTTTAATGGAGCTTCACTTATTCAAGCAGATTTTCTTCAAGCTGATATTGTTCAAGGAAATAATTTTACAAATGCTGATTTATATCAAGCGAAATTAACTGATGATCAATTACAAGGAAAAAAAATTTCAATGATAAAACATGATTTTTGTCGCGCACGATTTCCAAATGGATCTTTTGGTTTTGTAAATTCAGAAGAAAATTTAATTTCTAATGGAAATGCTGAATTGGAGGTAGAATATTTATTTAAATATAGTGTTTATTTTTTCTTTTTCTAAATAGTGTTTTACTGATCAACAAACAAAATGGAAAACAATTGATCGTAATATGATATTATCAACTAGAAAAATTGAAAATATAACAAATGACAATAGAACAATTAATGAGAATCATTGGGGAAATTGTTCATTTATCATTTCACCTAAAACACGAGTTTATCAAAATATCAATTTACATTCCTATTCGGTTTTAATTGATACGAATAATGCTACATTTTCTTTCTTAGGTTTTGCTAGTTGTAATGAATCTTATTTTGAAATTAATATGTATCGTTCGGATGAAATTTTACACGATTTAACAATTTATTCAAGTAAAAGAAACATTAAATATAATTCAATAATTGACTGTCATTAATATTTTAGAACCTTGGGAAGAAATGGAATTAAGTGACGACAAATCAATGCATGCATACGGTGAACATCGTTATCATTTACCAGCACGTACACGACGTATTCAAATTTATTTCGGTATTGAATTATCTGAAGATGATATTCCTTGTTATTTTGATAATATTACTTTAACTATTCATCTAAGTAAAACAAAATAAAAATCTTATATGTTATTCTATATATTTTTTGCTTTTTATTTTTCAAATAAATATTAGTCAAGAATTTATTTAGTTATGAAAAAAAATTAATCATTTAGATTTTACAAAATAATATACCAAGAATGACAAGTCTTAACATTTTGTCATTTATATGAAATAAATATATTTGTTCATAATATGGGTTTTTACTAAGCAAAAATAGGAAGTATTGAGAAAAATAATAGATAATTGTGATAAATCTTTTTTTTATGTACATGTTTGTCATATTTGATTAACAATATCGATCATTTTCTTTCCTAGCATAATATATGAAAATTTTTTCACCAATATATATTATCGAGTTTAGCAAGTTGTGTAAATATAAATCCCGTGAGAAATCACGTTTTCACTGTCTTTGAGTGCAATGTATTCATCCTATAAATGCCAAAATTAGAATCTACGAAATATGCAAATATTCACAAGAAACTCCGCATAAATGTTTTTCAAATCAATATACATATTTACAAAAAAGAAATACGAAAATACTCATGAATATCTAAATAAAAGCAGGACATATTCATCGGATATCACCAGAACTATCCGGCGATCATATTCAAATGCACTGAACTTTTCAGAGTTTCCAGAGCCTTTTGCGCTGATCATTTTGGTTATAAAATTTTTACATTTACTCGCTACTTTTAGATAGATACGGATCAAATATTATTAATGCAGTTTATATATTTTTCAATAAATTCAAGCCACATTTTTATCGAAAAACCGATTATACATTTAGGTTTCACTTGAAAAACTGCATCAAAATCTTTAGAAATATAAAAAAATTTCACGCATTTTTAGAGTGCCCACTGACTCGCAATGTAGAGAAACAGTGCATGAAAAAGCCAATCAGAGAGTTGGACTGACCGAGAATGTTGACCTTGCCAGCCCGATAGAGCAGAAGTTACTCTACAGCATGCACTAATTAGTTTTCTCCGCACCTTTGATTCTGGAATGAATGACTGTCAAAATTATTTTAGATCATACTTTTTCATCAAATTCTAGTGAACATGTCGGTGAGATTTCTTTAAATGGCTTGTTTATTACTTCAAGATTCACTGAGGTTTGTTAGAACGTGTTGACCTAATCATTTTGGTACTAAATTATCCAACGTACGACTGTAATATAAGTAGATTTCTAGCTTAAATAAACAATATGGTACTATTCCCTTCTTTTCTAGAAAAATGCATTGTTTTCTTTTTATGCATAATAATTAAAAGGAAATAAGCTACACTAATATTATTTGACTTGCTTTTTAGTGAAAATAGAATCGAACATTGGATGATTTAGTATCAAAATGATCAGACCAAAACGTTCTTACAAATTCCAGTGATTTTCGAAACGGTTAACAAGTCATCTGATTAGATCTCACCGATTTATTCACCAGAGTTTAATGAAAAATTGTGGCCTAAAATAGTTTTGACACTCGTTCATTCTAAAATCAAAGACGGAAAGAAGTCTAATTCGTGCATGTTGTAAAGCAAGTTCTGCTCTATCGAACTGGTAAGGCCATCATTCTCGTTAATTCCAACTTTCTGATCGATTTTTTTTGTAAACTGTTCCTCTACATTGCGAATCACTGGACAGTATAATAAAAATACGTGAAAATGTTTTAGATTCCTAAGGATTCTGGTGCAGTTTTTCAAGAGAAATCTAAATATGTAATTGGTTTTAAAATCAAAATAGATAATCATGGATTATGATCAGTTTTTCGATAAAAATGTGACTTGAATTTATTGAAAAATACATAAAATGCATCAATAGTATTTGACCCGTATCTATCTAAAAATAGTGGATGAATATAAACATTTTATAGCCAAAATGATCAGCGCAAAAAGTTCTATAAGTCTTGAAAGTTTCACTGAATTTGAACGTGGTCGCCGGATCGACTGGTGAATTCCCATGGAAACATCTAGCATTTGTTTGTGTAGAATATCGATTCAACTGAAATAATGTTAGAATTCAAAAACTTCTATTTATCTTATCTTTAACTATACATATGTTTTTGAACTAAATTAATTCAGTATAAGTATAAAAATTGACAATTATATTGAAATTGAATACAAAAATCAAAAGAACTTTTTCTTGTGTGTTAATACAATAAACAATTACATCGTATTCTTTAATTCATTAGTGTCCAATTGATCTTAGAGAAAAGTTTTTATTTCAAGATTTAATACGCTAAGATTCTCGATTCATTTGCTCAAATTTTCTTAATATGTAGGCGTAACAAGCATGTCGATGTATAGTATTAATTTTTAATGAAAAAAAAAAGCAGAGAGAATAAATGATGAAAAAGAGAAGAAAAAACGAATCAGCTATTTTTGTAACATTATATAAAAAAGAATTATTTTCCAAGGTTAACTTTCTAAAACATAATTCTTCTTGTTTTTCTCTCTTTTCATTTCCAGGATACCTCGCATTTAATATGTTCACCAAAAATAATCAAAAAAAAGCCTAAACTTGAGAACTTATCGTTACTTGAAACTATTTGTATTATCGTACGTACGTTCTTTTTTTGTCTTCAGGGAAAAACAAGTCAAAAAGAAAATATTATTATAAACACGGAAAACAAAATATATTTCCCTAGTTTGGTGTGTTTATATTTAATGTATATATTGGATGAGTATTTTTGTATGTTGTGAATATGTTGAAATTACCAACATTACTGGCAATCATAGAGAGGTAAATAATATATCTTGCTATATATGTTTTTTTGATCGTTTAATCAAATAATACAATACGAAACACGAATTTGAATCATTTTATTTTGATGATTAGTTATTCATTGATTATCTCATTGATATTTGTTGTTCTTTTTATATTTTACTAAAAACGCAAATAAAATATTTCCTTACCGTTTCGATTATTTTTCTTTTCGACTGATAAAATACTTGTTCTATTTTCATAGACATATTTATCATAATAAAAAAAAAAGCAAAAGAAAATATGACATTGCTGAAGATTTATGATAGAGACTGATACATATTCGACAAACAAAAAGAAGCATTGCAACAATACAATATTCGTAACTTTCGAGAGGAATGAGTCTTTCCTTTTTGTTTTTTTATTGCGTGATGTTTTTGTGCATCAGTTTAAGTGCATTTCATCTTATCTAAGAAAAGAAAGAAGTTTCACAGTGAATAAGTGACAACGACAAGCATTAGAAGAAAATGGTTAAATCGTTTTCTCTTTGTTCAATTCGATTATGTACTAAATAGATGGCCGGATAGGCAAGTCATTTCGTTTCCGGGTACGTTATTTAGGAAGAAATAGCACGTAGAGCGGAGAAAAGACGGATAAGTTTATATACATCAATGACTATGCATGGCTGGCAAGAACACTATAGTCAGTCGATAGCATCAAACAGAATAAAAATGCCAAGTAGCACATGCAGAGATGAAGTGGTAGTGAAGGCGCAAGAAGTAGAGAAACTGCAACACAATTCGTATGTTAGTAGTGATGAGGAAAAGTTGTCGAGAAAGCAGGAGAGAAGCTTTTCAAACTATCAACATTGTACGATAAGCGGGTAAAAAAACGTGTGCTAATAGAAAATATTTTTTTTTCTTTTCCATTCCATCGCTACTCTAACACATCACAACACTAAAGAATTATTTATTAATATAGTAGATTGAGTAGCAGCAATAGCTAGTAATACTTTATTATAAATAATTATAAATAATTGACTGAATTAAACGGTTAGTTTTCAATTTACTCTAAATAAATGTCGTAGATCTACATTGTATTTCAAAGTCTGTAGTTTTTTTCAACTCTACATCATAGATTTTATAAGTACTATAGAAGACTCTTTTAGTTTCGTTCATGCGATATAATTCGTATTTATTAACATGTTATCAGCTATTTATTATCCAAATTAAATTTGTATGAAATTAGATTTTTCAAAATTATCTGAATGAGTTAATTATGTTTATTGTTAACCATCGAATAGAGTAAATATATTTTTTTTTTCTCATAAATACCAATCTTCTAACAAATAGAAATATGCATTTTTCTTTCAGTCTGCCATTCTTTATATTTATTAAAATGTGAGAATGTTCGACGCAATTTCTAGGTCGAATTATTATTTATTGTTAAATAATCATACAAGTATTCTACTCGATATCTTTTGTGTGCATTTTGAGTGATGAATCCGAATAAATATTACAGGAAGTTTACTTTTCTAATAATTACAGTTGTAAAGAAGAAGAAAAAATGCGCATATTTTATCTATTCATATAACTTCATGTTAAAAGTTCTTATTGTTTAAATAGGGTAAATATTATTTTAATTGAGTTAGAAGTTTATTAACCTTATTAATTCGATCGACATTTGCTGTATTTTACTGTAAGTTCTATCATCTCTATTGTAGCTAATAATGAATTATTAATTCAGATAAATTTCGTTATACAAATATGGAAATAAAGAATTTTTTCATCTGTTTAATAGTTAATATAGATTTAGTTCTTATTCTATCTATTTTCATCCATTTTCCTCGGTGAAATAAACGGTAGTTATATATAGTATCTAATATCAAGGTTCTATCTATATACATGCAAATTTTTATTTTTCTGATTGCTTTTATTAGAAATATATATATATATCTATCGTATAAATTCTAGATCAATGATGATAACTCTTCTGTCCTGAATTTTCTTGTCTAGTCTGTATTTTCAAAAGAGTCGATGACTATATATAATTGATCTAAGAGTAAGTAGCAGTGACAAAAACACAAACAACAACATCAACAAGATAAAAAAAAGACAAGCGGATGATGGCATGGCACCGCCTACATTGGTGTATCCGAATGCTAAGGTCAAAAACGGGTCGAATGATAATTATGCTTATATTAACTGTTGGTATAGCAATAAGTGAAATAATATATGGAATTCGTGATCAATCACAATTACTTATTGCTGATGGACTTTTTTCATTTGCTGAAGGTATTGCATTAGTTGGTTCATTAATTGCATTACGTTATGCAAAAGCTGAACGTTTACACTCAAAAAATACTTTTGGGTAAAAAATATTTATTTAATTATAGTTCATATATGAATAATTATTGTTTTTTTTTATTGTCAGATGGGCACGTTTAGAAATACTTGCTGGTTTATTACAAGAGGTTCTACTTATGTCACTTTCACTTTCAATTATAGTTGATGCTGTTAATAAATTAATTAATCCAAATCATATTGAAAAGGCATTTGCAATGATCTTTTTAGGTTCAGCTGGAGTATTTATTGGTTTATTGGGATTATTTTTATTTCGTGGTTACGATCATGATCATAATATTGGACACGAAATCGTTGAACAAAAGAAAAATGATTTTGTTCGTAGTGTCTATACAACTTTGCGTAATCTTGATATGAATAGTGAAAACATAAATGATTCATTAACGCGACAAACAAGTACATCAAATCCACAACCTATTGTTATACCTGAATTAGTTGTTACTGAATCAACAACAAATACTAATACTACCATTATTACTCCTAGTACAGCTACTACTAGTATTACTACTACTACTAATAATAATAATAATGTGGAACAAGGAAAACAATCAAAGCAAAATTTAGTTTTACCATCATTAAATGATACATATCAAAGTGCATTTATTACTTCGAAAATGACTGATTCAATAACAGATGATCGTATTAGTGATAGTAGTGAACAACAGTTACGTGTACCTGTTGAATTTAGACGAACGAGAAGTCGAAGTGGTGATTCCATAATATCATCGATATCGTTTCTCAATCACGATGATTCTGTTCTTGAAGATGAATTTCAAAAATCACGTGTTTATGCAACATTACATGCCCTTTGTTTACATTCATTGGTAAATATACATGATAGATAGAAGAAAAAACACAAAGGAAATTCCGATGTTCTTCAAAATGCTTTGTTCTATTCGGTTAATGTTTTATTGAGTACATCGTACGTGTAACAATAAATTGAATAGAAAGGAAAACCTATTCTTTTTCGTGAACATAGAAACTAACCGAATACTTTTATGAGTGAAATCAATTACTTTTAATTGTAATTGCTCACAATGTAGTAATAGGTTTTTCATCGTTCGTCATTTGTCCTATAGTTCAATCATATCAAAAAAGGAACACTTAAAATGTTTTTATTTTTATTTCTTTTTGTGTTTAATTATTAATACATTTTATTCAGGCAGTTCTTCTCGAATCTTTAATTGTATTATTTTCTGGTTTATTAAATGAATTTATTCCACAAAAAGATATAAATGATAAACAAATAAATTTATGGTTGAAATATGTTGATCCATCATTAACCTTAGTTATGGTAATAATTATTGCTATTAAAGCTATTCCTGTTATATGGTCACTTGGTAATATTCTTGTTGAAGCTGTTCCATCGGGTATAAATACACGTCAATTAATTCAAACAATAATGAAAACAATTCCACAAATACGTGCTGTACATAGTGTTCATGTTTGGAGGTATTTAATATTCTTATAGGGCTTCTTGTTCTTTTCTAAATCAACAATAACTATATATTTTAGAGCCACAGCTCGAGATGTTTTTGCAACATTACATGTTGTATGTGATGAAGATTTATCATTGAGTACCTGTACAGATTTATTTGGACGGCAATTACAACGAATATTTGAAACACATTGTATACGTCATTTTACATTACAATATGAATATATTGAACCGGGTGGAAATATAAATAAATGTGCATATGGTACTCGTCGAAGACATCGTGGTCATCAATCGACTTCAGAAGATAATGATAATATAATGGGTCAATCACAGATTGATTTACGTGTCAATCCATTTAAAACGAATTTCATCGATTCATTACGAAGATCTGTTTAAGATTCATAGACATATTCTTTTTTTCCATGTGATATATAAATTCGGTATTTTTTGTTTCTTGCAAATTGCATTCCAATTTGTTTTTAATACTAATTTTTCTACATATTCTCAATATTTTTGTTTTTTTTTTGAAAAAATAGCTAGATAGTTATGGATTGCTGAAACAAATATATTATAATTTAAATACGGCCGGTTTGTGTTGAAAGAAAAAGAATGTTTTATTTATTAATAAAAGAATTAATTGGTTTCTGTATATCATCAAGATTCTATTATTAAAGAAAAACTACAGCTATAGCGTCAATAACTTGATTGAAATAAATCATAGGTTTTCATAGATGTATTACGTGTTAAGGTCACCCTGCTCTTCTCCGATATCGATCATTCGATACAATGCATGAAACTTTCTGAAGATGTTCGACGACCAGTCGAAGTACATCAATAAAAAAAAATATTTTCGCCGTTCTGAATCTTACCATTCAGGAGATCTTCAAGTATCAAAGTGCATCACGGGTGCAAAATATCTTTTCAATAGGTATACTTCAAAGTATACCGCTTGGAATACTCTCATTTGACAGAGAACTTCCTACTATTTCGGATGAAGGAAAGTATTTTTTTAATTTTAATTTTATTTCCTCTTTGGATCCTCAAGACTTTAGAGCTTAAAAAAAGAATCTTATACAAGATTTCTAAGAAAGCTAATGATTTGCTTTGATATTGATCTAGGACGAACTATTTCGAAAAAATAATTTGTTCAAAATTCGACAATTTATCCAAAAACATTGAAAAATGGACTAATGGAAAAACATGATGAATCATATATAATTTATATTATTAATGAAGAAGATGGGACTTATATTAAAAATAAAGTTTTTACTATGTTGCAGATATGTAGTATTCGGTAATGTTTTTTTGATTATTAGAGTTATTGATCGTTAATTAAATTCATTTTTTCATAGTTCATATATCATGAATATAGTAACAACTCAAGGGATAGAATAATAATTCTCTAGTGAAACTGGTCATAAGCAGAGGAATTTATGGTTCATAATCAATAAAAAGAAAAAGACTTTCTCTGTGGATCGATAATTTAGAACATGATAAAATAGTTTTTAAATAGCTTAAAAATACACAACAAGAACAAGTAGAATTTTTCTTAATATAATCTATTTCAACAAATTCTTAATGATTTTCACAGAAGATATTATTATTCAGCAAAAATTGTATTTTTTATATATTAATATTGTTCTTTGTTGAATCCTACTGATTATGATAACAAATTGTTTTAGATATAAAAGTTGAAATTGAATACTCTGATATAAATACAAACTGTAAAGGATTAAGCTATTAATTCCTATTGTCATATAAATTTTTTTTTGTCTAGATAATTGTAAACATAAGAATGTTTTAATAACTTAAGTGGTTCAAAGAAAACGAAAAAGTTTGTGATATGTCGAATGAGGACAAATCTTAGATTTAGATTGTTACGAGACAAAGATATTTGAAATATGTTTAACTATTCAATACGTTCAATTATAAGATATTATTCGAGTAATATGATTTGAATGTGTTTTGAACAAGAAAATTGTTTTGCTTATCAAGAAAAAATAGCAACACTTTAAATTTAATGCATAAAAGAAGAAAGAATTAATGATGATCATAATCATTACTGAACAGTAGAGATAAGCAAGTCAAATCAAGTTAGTTTTGACTTGCTTCAACTTGACTTGAAAAATTCTTGGACAACTTATGACTTTGACCGATGAATGACAAAGTTTTTGATTACTTGTGACTTGACTTGACAAAAACATACAAGTGAAGTCAGACATACTTTTTTGTTCTAATATAAAAATGCTGTTCGTCAATAATACTTGAACAAAGTTATTAGTCGATAACAACACTTGAAAAAAGTGCTACGGATGATGAACAATTACCAACAATAGTCAGCGTCAATGTGCCAACTTTTTTTCTTCGTTTGAATGATTTTACCATAATTGATTCACGATCTCAAGTGAAAATAATCATGGAAGAGGAAATTGATTTATGGTTTGATCATATAATATCATCAAATACATCTGCATTTTTATTTATTTCAAATATTATCAGTAATGCAATCATTCAATTAATTTATGAAAATCCACAACATATTTTGTAAATATGGTGAATATCAAAACTCTTCATATGAATACCATGTATTTTAAAATTCAGTCAAAAAGTTAGGTTTTTTGGCTCAAAATAAAACGTATTTCTGTAGTTTTTCTTGATGTATTTGAATAGACAATAGAAATTTACTGAACAGATCAAAATAACATTTTATTCTAGTCAAGTGTTAAATAAATGATGTTTTTGGTACATCCACTATTTTTAATGCTACAAAAGAACGGAACATAGTTATTTAAAAAAAGAATATACAGAGAAAATACCTGCGCAAAATTTTCTATCCTTTAGCATCTGGTACCACAATTGTCTTTTGTGAAGTCTAACGAGGGAACCACTCCAACTAATTCCGAGCTTTCGACTACATCTTTTGGCTATAAGTAGGTTCCAGTGAGACTAAGAAAACCCTAGAAGCGTTTGTTCCCGTGGCGTATTAGTGAAGAGTTATGGCCGTTTTACTGGATTTTTTACTCAGGACCGGGTTTTTCCGAAAATCTTAAAACAAATAGATTTGACCTGAAGTTTTCGCCATAGATAGATCTATTAGTTATTAAAAAGTCCTGAAAATTTCAAAGACAATGAACGTGCCTTTCTCGAGATATTCATTTTCTTTGAAATTTTCAGGACTTTCTAATAACTAATAGATCTATCTATGGGGAAAATTTCAGGTCAAAACTATTTGTTTTAAGGTTTTCNGATGAAGAAGGTTCCCTTAAGAACATGTTTGACTGGAAAAGTACATTGCAAAATTTTTAAATTTAAAAGAAAATCTCCGTTCACTGAGAAAGTTTGTCTTATTATCCGCTTTTGGTCAAGTTTTGTAGCGCTACGATAGAGCTGTTTAAATAAGTTAAAATAAACTTTTCAAGTTATTGGTTAAGTTCAAAATTGAAAATTTTCTAATGGACTTTGCTACTGAAAAGTATGCATAACTAATAAGTCATTTCGAAAAATAAGATTTATTTCAGCCATCGAAGTTAATAAAATCCTATATTTTATCTTCAATTAGAGTTTAGTGAACCCTATAAGAAAGCATATTTTCTATTAGACATTTTGAGAAAAATTTCGTTGAACGTTGTGGAAGAAAAAACAAGTTTTTTTTAATGAACCTGTTTCCTATGGAATTCGTGACTGCTTTACCTCAATTATTTTGATACCACTAGAAAGTTCGTATCGCTTTGTTTACATTCACACATAATGTAGCTAAAAATATCGAAAGTCGAGCGCAAAACAAATCGATCAAATCCAATTCTCATCTCTGATTTTGTGTGAAATTGAAAGTTACTTTTCTGCCTTCGGCAAGTATTTTGAACCAAAAATCGTTTTACTACTTTGCAGTAGAAGCTTTATTCTTTCTAACAAGAAAATTCTCAAGTCTCTATGATGAGTTCTAGTCACACTAAACTGAAAGCAAGACGAATGAGAAACTTTTGCACCATCCGCTATGTTTTCCGAAACATTAGATAGTATAGTCAAAATATAGCCTAGTCTATCGAAGCGTTGGTGGTGTAACGGTTAGCATGGTTGCCTTCCAAGCAGCCGACCCGGGTTCGACTCCCGGCCAACGCACTACTTTTTTTTCTCTACCTGATGATGAGTATCAATAATTGTATTAAGTTCTTGTATACGTCCATGATCAACATTATAGAAACGAACAAGACGATCAATAGCTAAAGCATATTGATTTATACCTTGATGATTCCATTGAACAATAGGTCGATTAATATTACATATATCAAATAAAGGTACTGATTCAATATCAGTTGATGATGGTATTATAATTGAATTATCATCACCGATTGTATTAACAATCGATGTAATAAATGTTTCAAAATTAATAAATTGAAGTTCATGATTACCAACAAGTAAAAGATAGTTTTCATTGTCATTAAGTGCTATTGAATGACAATCAAGATTTGAAAGATTTTTACCAAAATCAAATGTAAATGAAAGATTTGATGATAGTCCATTATTACGTTCATACAAAATCATCTGGAAACAGGATATTTTACTTGACAACGAAAAAGAAAATTGAATTATTTGTCTTTTTTTGTATGTATTTTTTTTTTTATTCAAAACAAAAAACAATTACATCTTTTCCTTTTAAAATTGATATGTTTTAAGATGATCTTCAGGTTTAATATCGGTATAAGTTACATTTGTTGTTTGATTATTATTATTATTTGTACTATTAAAAAGACCACTTATTAAACTTCGTCCACCTGTTGTTTCAACTTTTTGTAATTTAACTGATCGGCTAATTGATTCTGATTTTGATCCATTTGAAAATGGTGTATGAAAAAGATTTTCTTGAGCTGTTAATAATATTTGATTACCACTTTCAATTAAACCTTGTTCATGTGCAGCAGCTAATTGATTAACAACAGATCGTTCAATCTATGAAAAATATTAAAAAAAAATATTTTCTTTTAATATATATAATAAAAAAAAAACCTCATGTTTAAGTGATCGAGCTCCATAATTAATATCATACCCATCAGCTAAACAATCAAGAGCTTTACGATCCCAAATAATATCAATATTATGTTGTTCTTTAGCCTAGAAAATCAAGCAAAGAAGATTTTTCTTTTTGTTCATTACTAGAAAATCTTACTCGTTTTTTCCAAAATTCTAGTTCTTTTAGAAGTAATTTATTTATTTCACTTTTTGAAAATGGTAAAAAATAAACCATTTCATTAATTCGTCCAAGAAATTCATCACGACGAAAATGTCTCTAAAAGAAATATCCAGAAAAACTTTATAATTAATCGAATTTTTAAAAATTTTTACTTTTAATATTGGTTTAACAACTTTATCTTTAAATTGTTTTGATACAGTTATACGACTTTTCCCATCATCTTCTTGTTGTTTATCAGTATCATCTAAATAAAATTTTGCAATCATCATATGAGCAATTATGATATTGATCGAGATTATCACTGTTTACTAAGAACAAAAGGGAAGGAAGCGTTTTGTTTTTTCAAAATTCATTAATAGACAGTTCGTCAAATGAGATTTATGTAATTAAGTAGACTAGAAAATAATCAAAAGGATTCGTTTTCTTCCTAAACTATGATTGTTTTATTGAGTTTCTGATATGCTTTTGAGTGTATCATAAAAAATTTCAACGTCTTAAAATTTGCCTATAAAAAATGTCCGATGGCTTGTATTATACATTGGAAGTTTCATCTACAACGGATATTTCATAAGAAATATGTGCATTTATTAAGAACTTAATATTATAGAAAGAAAACTATTCATTGTAGCTGAAATTTTCTCTGCATGATTGAAATCATAAGACTTCGTGATGGATGAATTTCAACTTGAAATTGGAACATTGAAGTTGTCATGATCAGGCCATACGATTAGGGAGGGGAAGGGAGGGAATTTCCCCCTCCTAAAATTTTGGGAGAAAGTCTCCCTGGAAAAATTTATCGTTTTTCTCCAGCGGATTTTCTCTTTGGAAAAATATTTTCGTTTTCTCCCAGCAGATTCTCTTTGGGAAAAAAAATTTTTCCCCCCCTTGGTCAAAAACAAACGAAAACTCTGGTCTAGGATTCGAAAGAGTAGAAAAAGCTTTAACTTTTGATAAAAAAAACCAAATGTTCTTTCAACGCTCTTTTATCGAAGAGAAATAGAGATAAACTGTTTATGGCATTACTTTTGCATTGATGGTTACATATGAATCTATCAAACAAAACAAAAATAAAACATATGTAAAATAATTTAATTCATAGTCAATTGAGTAGAAAAAAAGAATTTTTTTTGTCAAATGTTTGAATAAATTCCTAAAATGAACTGGCTTGTTTTGAAATAGTAGAAATTCTTAAAAATTTGGAAAAAGCTTGTATCATTGGAATAATGAGAGAAAAACCATGTTGAGATCTAGACAGTTAGTTTCGCTACATGTACAAAATTGTAGATGAAAAGATTTCATTAGTAATGGAATAAATAATTCTCATATCATTTTTGTTTCGCACGCCTCATATATATTATTACAAAAGCTTGTGAATAAATACTGAGAATTCATACAGTTATTTTATGGTGCTTCATTTTGATTTTATTGNGGAAAAATTTTTTCCTTTTCCCCCACCAAGTTCTCTTGGGGAAAAAAAAATGTTTCCCCCCCCCCCCCCCCTTGGTCAAAAACAAACGAAAACTCTGGTCATGATACTTCCTGAAGTCAATCAGTCACTCAATAAAATGATCATAATTTAGGAAGAGATAGAGTCTTGCAGGAGAAACCTTTTTCGAGTGCCGTATTCTGTTTGCCCCGTACTGAAAATTTTCGGAACAATGCCGAATGTCTTGCAGGACGGGATCAACAGAATTCGAGGCTATCCCGCAGAACTCTAGGAAGAAAGCATCAAAAGAAGGTATCATTTTTGGCTTTGTCTGATTTGTCGTCTAATGACAAAAGTCTCATTTTAACAGTTATTTATATCCTTGAAAAGATTTTCTTTCTATCTATTTCTATTTCGATAAAACTAGATATGTATCGAATCCGAATGTTCGAATTTGGTCATTTTCAGTTAATTAATAAAAGGATAAAGAAATAAGCCAAAAGAACGGATTTCAGATGTGATTATGATAGATCTACACACAATGAAATAAACGATCCGAAAAATGGAGATCTGCAGACATTCTAAAAAGTTAACAATGAACAAAAATATTCAAACTCGAACTTCACTAATTCTTAGGGTGCCTTCATTATTTACCATAAACCTCAAGAAACGCTTGAGCAATCACTCAAATGCTCGATAGTATCTGAACTGATTGAATAATTTCGAAATCTGAGCCAGAGTTCGGATTCCGTACATGCCTAGATGATATAAAGCATTCGTTGAAGAAAAATTTGTTATAATTTCTATTCTTCTTATTCGAATAAAGTTTTGATGAAAATCGCCCACAATACTGATTATCGATCAATTCGAAAATCTATCTAATCGACTTAAAAGAGATTCATTTAGGAAACCTATAATAATAAATAATAATTTAGTGTACCTGACGTCATTGCTCCATTAACTAACGGTGGTTTCTTTTCTTCTTCGCGTCTTAAATCTTGTGCATAATTAGCAATTTCCTCACTAGCTAAATTCGATGTCATCACATAAATTGCTTGTTTACCATCAATGGTTTTTCCCTTTCCATCAGTTAAACGTCCCTAAATTAAATTTATATTTTTCAATTTTGTTCGTTTTTTAAACTCGTCTTACTTCATCAAATAATTGTAACATAACTGTTAAAACATCCGGATGTGCTTTATCAACTTCATCAAAAAGTACAACGGCTGTTGGACATTTATTTAATGCATCCGTCAATTGTCCACCTTCTTGATATCCAATCTAGAAAAACAAAAAAAAAACCGATAATCTTAATTTTTCTTTTTCTTTGAATCAAACTTTCATATCCAGGTGGTGCACCAATTAATTTTGATACTTCATGTTTTTCTTGATATTCACTCATATCAATACGTATAAAACAACGAGTTTGATTTTTTTCACCATTTAAATATTTCGCTATTTGTTTACCTAATTCAGTTTTACCAACACCAGATGAACCAAGAAAAAGAAATACTAATGGTGATTCATCACTAGTCCAACCAGATTCTTTTCGTCGTATAGCTACAAGAAATAAAAAAGATACATTTTTTGTCTTTCAAAAAATAAATATTTATTTTTCGTAAATTAACTAACCAGCACAAACTGTTGATATAGCATAATTTTGTCCAACAATATGTTCTTTTATTCGAATTTCCAGTGGTCTTCGTCGTCTTTCAATTTTCATTCTGTCTTCATGTAATTTTTTCGCCTAGAAAAAAAAAAAAGAAAAACCTTTTGTTTTCTTTTTAATTTTAACAAAACACGAAACAAACATTTTTTTCAAATTCACTTAATAATTCTTTATGCTGTGATAATGCATATGCAGATGGTAAATGTCCTTGTTCATTTTCAATTAAAGGATCAGCACCATGTTCAATTAAAATATTTATTATAGGTAAATTATCATTTAATACAGCATAATGAAGTGCTGTAAAACCATTAAATGTTGCTCGAGATGAAAGACGATCACAAAATTCTTCTTCACGTTTTGCATGAACTAAACTTGTACGAATTATTATTTAAAAAGATCTTTGTTTATCGTTTACCATGTGTCGGATTCCAATGAAGTTTTTTTGCCATTGATTGTACATTAGTATATTCATCAGATTGATTTGGATCAGCACCTTTCGAAAGTAGATATTTTACACAATCAATTCTATTATTTATAACAGCAACGAGAAGAGGCGTCCAACCAAGTGGATGTCGAAGATTAACATCAAGTTTTTCTTGTTCAATTAATCTATTAGAAAAAAAATTAGTTTATCATTATGAAAATTAAAAAAAAGACTTATTTATTTACTGTTGAAGAATTTCTAATCGACCATCATGAGCCGCTTGAAATAATTGTTTTTCTACGAATGAATAATTAATTAGAAAAGATTTTTATCAAAGAAAAAACGAACATAATTTCTTACCAGTATGAGATAAATCTTTTTCAAGTGATTTTGCATGAACAATAAATGAACGAGAGTATTTTTCAAATGGTGATATTTTATAAACAGTTGTACTGAGTATAGCACCAGTACCCAATGAAGTCCAAAGAAGACGATTATTTCGAAATGATAAGGGAATATGATAAGATGAAAATATAAGAAAACGACGAAACGTGCGAAAGAAATATCTGGAAGTCATCTGAAATGGATAATAAAACATAAATAGCTTTATGTTTTTTGAAATATTCTACAGATGAGAGTTTGAATTAAGGAAATCATTGGAAACGAATGGATAGATCAGAGCAAAGCAGATTATTTTCCCAGAGAGGTCGCTATTACACAATAATGATTCAAATGAGAGAAGACGAGTTTTTGAGTGCCACTTAAATGAAATACAGTTAGTGTCTCTTTTATCGAATACAAACTATGCAATCTGTAACAGCTTTGTAGATCAAAAACAAAAATTCACAGGTTGCATAAAAAACCTACGCTGCTCTTCCTTATTTGTACAAAGCTCAATGTTTTCTCAAAAAGATTTTCTAATTCTGCTTGTTTAAGACAATATTATTGCTAACCATTGGAGGCGGTGAAAAATATGGGCGTTTGCGTAGAAAAAAATTTGATGCCCAGTTCAAACCTATCAATCTCATGGAAGGAGAAAAGTTCTCGAGCCTACCCTAATCTGTGAAGAATGAGTCTAGAGAAGGCTTTAGCCTATATAAATCTTGTTCCTCCGCCGTCTATACTTACTGAGATAATTTCAATTGAATTCAGTTGTTTTCATTCAAATTGGAGTCGATTAACACGATTCCATGAATTATTCTCGATCTTGTCTTTCTAATGGACATGCTCATTGAATATATTAAGTTCGACACTCACAATGCAGAACGAATTAAAAAGCGTTTTTTTGTTTTCATAGATTTTACACTATTCAGTTGTCCTTTTATTATTGCACTAGTTGTTTTTTTGGTTCAAGATTCACGAGTTGATTCTAAATTTCAACTTTTCACGATTGCTATCGAAAAAACATTAGAATCAATCCATTTGAAATTAAATTTTTTATTTTTCTTAAATTACAAGATTCTTTTTAGTTCTTGTAAATCTTAATTAATATTAAACAGCTACAGTTGAACCATTCGGAAGTATAGCACCTTGTAAACTTTGTACTTTAGCTAATTGTTCTTTTGTTATTTTTGCTTGATATAAATTTGCATTATTAAATATTGCTTGTGTCACATCTGTATTAGTCCAATCTGTTCTTTGTAATGATGCATAACGAAAATCAGCATACGAACAATTTGAATTAAGAAATAATGAATCGTCTAAGATTGAATATGAAAAATTGCTTTGAAATAAATAAATATTTTTTAATGATATATTTCGTGCAAGAACATTAATAAATTGTAATTGATTATAAAAAGATTCTTGAGGAAAAATTAATGATGATAAATCTACATGAGATATATTAATTCGATATTGAATACCACTATCAAGTAATAATTGTAGAAGAGAAATTTTTCTAAATGGATCAAGTTGTCTTAAAACATGTAAAGTTTTTGTTCGAATAATTAATAAAATACGTTCATTATCAGTAGAATTATATGAAAAATCATATTTAAGAATAAAATTCATTAAATCTTGTTGATAATTGTTTAATATAATTTGATGTTGTTCATCATGTAATGACTGAATAGAACTTAAATCATTATTGAATACAATTGTTTTTGAACTTTGATGTTGATATTCACTTAAATTTTCTTGTTGTAATGGAAGAACAATTGGTAATATGCCGATAATAAGTAGAATAAAAAGATTTGATATTAAATTTATCCATTCAAATAATGAATGATTTAAACAATTTTTGAGAAATTTATTTTTAAGCATCGGAAAGAATTTTTCTTTTTAGTAAAACAAGAAAAGATATTGTAATCAATAAAAATCATTCAACTATTTCTATGTTTATTGTCTTATGACCTTTACCATTTTTTTTTCTAAATGGGTAATTGATTTATGAAAATGGTATATAACCTTATGAAGGTAATGGTATAATTGTTGCAAAAAAGAAAATGAAAGCAAAATAGATTAATTTCAAAGCTATCGAACTTATAGGTCGAACTCGATGAGTATGTCATAGAAAAAATTTAATTCCTATTTTCAAATTCAGTATCAATTGTAATAATATATATAAAACCAAGAACTGTTTCTTGTTTAATTACCATAGAGAATTCATCTAATTAATGATTATTATCGATGTAAATCTTTATGATAATTAACCATTACATGCATCACAGTCACAACTAGACATGAGCGGGACCATCTTGTACATATCTATTTAGAATACATGAATCGTGATAATATGATTTTCAACAGGTGTTTTACATAGCCGTAAAGGAGATTGTTCCAAATGAAAAGTGTTGACCTCAATTTCGGCCAAAAAAAATTGATCTCGGGATTGGGATCATCTTACTAATGCCGAGTAACAACAGAGATAATCTTGGCTTGGTTTTTTCAACATTTGAATCCGAACTGAAAAAAAATTTGTTTAAAATTTAATTAAAGATAACTAAAATTGATAATTTTGCATTCAACTAGTTCGTTTTCTTCCAAATGATTTGTCACGTAAAACTGTGCTCCGATAATAAAAGAGTCTTCGCGTGATTGGACGAGCAAAGAGAAGAAATATGTGTATACTCTCATTATTACTTATGGTATCTTTTTCAATCCATTTGTCTTGCTTTGTATGTCAAGATTCTGATATAAGTTACATTAATTCAGCTAAAAATCAACCTGAATCGTACTTCTTTCTAAGTCACAACTATGGATTCTAATTCAATATTTCTTGTTGTACTACTATAAGGTTATTCTACTTCTTTATTTTAATGCATTTAGTTATTTTATTACGCAATGTTGATGCAGTTATGGTGTATCAAAGATAATTGACAACGTACAATTTGTTGAAATGAAATCAAAATTCTGCAGTTTTGTCAGAAAAGATATTTATGAGAGAAAAATTAATGTGAACTTCTTGTGTCAGACACCTCTCAGTTATGAGTAAATAATAGTGAAAAAATAAAGGAATCATATCAAGAAAAAAATCTTTAGTTTATTGTGTGCATGAATTTTATTGTTTGACACCTTATTTTCTTTTTTATGTACTCGATACAAGCAAAAACAGATTTAACTGAAAAGAAACCTTATTAAAACAATTTTTCGCCAAGAGTTTTTTCTTCAATAAAACCGCTCTGTCTGAGTCTACGATATCTATATGTATATATAATGTCATCTGTTACCGGGGACATCATAGTTCTTCGTTTATTTTAAAATGCATCTTGTGGTATTTGTCTTACTATTAGTATCATGTGCATGTGATATAATAGTGTCCATAGATCGAATAAAAGGACAATATAATATTAATATTGATAATCATATATGGTTTCGTTCATCTCGCACTGGTCTATATATTGATGACCGCTAGTGTTCATCAAATGATTGTTCTCTTCCTTTAATCGATACATATTTTCTACAAGGTAATGATTCAAATTTAGGCAGTTGGAATGAAACTCAATTGATTTATATTTTAAATCAAAATGAAATAATTAGTAATATAACTGGATTTATTCGTCAATGGAATTCTCAATCAGTAATAACATTTCATTTAGATAATAATGATAAAACTTTAATGAATAATAAACTTCTAGATAAAAATCAAGTTCGAACGATATTTTCTTCATTTAATATTGAACAAATTATTCAAAACGATAATCGAGGTTATTTTACATTTTCAAGGTATAAAATTAGTTTCTTTAAAATAATTGAATAAAGTTCTAATTGAAATATATATTTAGGTGTAATGATGGGTTTTGCTGGTCAGTATGCTGGTATTTGGAATTCATCTAGTGAAATTATAAGAAATTCTTTAGAAGGCGGTCCAGTAGTTCTATTTAATTTAAATAAAAAAAAGGGCAAGGTAATATTGTTATTATTTCACCATTTTCTCAATTTATGGTGACTTCATTAAATCAACAAAACAATATATTGCAATATATAGTGTCATGAGGTCTATAATAACTATACCAACTAATTATAGTTCTTCTTTAATCTTATTTTATTCATCTGAAGGTATCAATAAAGCAATTCATGACTGGGGACAATTGATGCAACGAGCATATAATCGAACTAATCAATATCGTTGAAATGATATAACTATTAAATATCTTGGTTATTATACAGATGGAGGAGCTTATTATTATTATTATAATACTCAGCCAGGATTGAATTATTAAGACACAATATTTCATAATACGTGTACTATCAGTATAATTAATCACATCACCTAGACCAACGGGACCNTCTCCACTATTGTAAGGACGAAACATAGTATTGCTGGGGCCGATTAGGAGTTTGGAGGAGCCCTCTTTCATATGGCCCGAACAACACTATGTTTTATTCTTACAATAGTGGAGAAAGCCTTTCCTGATTCATTTTTATGCCTAAATTTCACATACATTGAAATTTAAGTAACTTGCTCTAGGTACGCTATGGGGACGTAATATTTAAAATTTGTTAGTTTGACAGTGAGAGCTTTCATTTGACCCGAATATGGTCAATCTCCTTCACTACCAGTTGGCAACCTTCCATTGTTAGATATTAATTTATCTTATGCTTGTAATGCTAGCCATTTCTAGATAGATTATTAAACAATATTTAATTATAGAAAAAAGTTGAAGAGAATGTCTAGTTATTGCTTATTCTGTCTGTTCCATTCAATGGAATATGTGTTTAATTGTCAATATGTGCGACATACTCTAATAATGTTTTATCGATTGGTAGCGCCCTCTATATTTACAATAACTTCTATCATCACTGTATATTTGAAAACTTTTTTAAAAATAATATTTAATGGCATTGCCCTAATTTCTTAAAATATAACAAATGAGATCAGTTTTACAGCTGTCTGCAAGCCCGCGAACAAAGACCTACTATTGTTCAGATGATGATTTAACGCGAAAAAAACAGTCATCAATAATAATATTTTTTATTCGAAATTATGAGTTTCGCACGACCAGTACCGTCCAAAAGCAGTGGCACTTCGACGGTTATACCTCCATTACCTGCTTTACCAAAACTGCCGTCTCGTCTGCAGTCAAAACGGTATATTTATCTTCGTAATTAACTCAATTATGAATTCTTTTTTTTTTG